TAGGACAAACCTATAAGGAAGTCTGGACATAAAGGAGTTGGCACTTAGCATTATCTCTTACACCTTATTTATACTGTACAGTTTGCACTATGATTTGTATTTGTATGCTTTATATTCAAAGGGACATACTGAAATATTTGTGCCTCTGGGAAAGAGAATATTATTTTAAAGGTATACCCTCGGACACTGGGCTACTACGTTATCACATTTCTCACTATTTTTATATCTTTCATATCTAGTATTTTAATAAGCGCTTCACCGAGTCACTTTTCCTTCACACTAAAGAAAGAACTCGCTTTCAAGCTACAGAAGGTGATATTATAGGCCTAGAACTCAGGCAAGACGCAGCTGCAACCCAACTCCAAGACCTCACCAAATAGAGCACACTACTGAGTGCCAAAGTGGGGCAGCTGGAAGGTGACGCAAGACAGCGTTATCTGAAGGTGAGGGGGATCCCAGACACTGTGGATGCCAGTGAACATCAATTCATCAGGCATTTGCTCTCTGCCACACTGACACACAAGCAGGCTAAAGGCCTAACCCTAGAGGGACTATACCGCTTACCAGGACAACCTTCTACCAAACCACCCCCCGCTCACCCTATGGATGTCACACTGTGCTTTCGATCACAGGCTGACAAATAAGCACTTAAATGTTTGCCATGTATGTTTCAACAAAACTCACTAAGTTTTTACCAAGATCTTAGTCGACTGACACTGCAGTGGAGGGCTTCCATGAGAGAAGTGACCACCCAGTTGAGAGCAGCTGATGTCCCATACAAGCAGGGAACCCATTAGCCCTTATTGTGGAGAAGCAGGGTAGGAGATACAGACTGACCTCAACAGCGAATGCAGGTGCATTCCTGCAATCACTGGGACTCACAACACCGGACGCGGGACAGTCCACCGACACACCTACACACTGCTGGAATGTGGACAGCATAGCGGTCTTCACACCAAGCAGCTCAACTGTCGCAAGCTGAGCTACCGTTGGTAGGTCTGAAAGGGGACTGATCAGCCAACACCTTTGTTACTGTTGCTGTTTTTTGTTTTTGTTTGCCTTTCTTTCTGTTTGCATTTACTTTTTATCTTTAATAACAATGGATAGCATGAGGCTATACTTCAAAAGGAAGTTCACTGAGAGCTGCAGGGCTATACAAATTTTGTGTCCATGTACTAACACCTGTAGCCCAATTCTACAATCATGGGGGCACCGTCAGTAGGCATGCCTGCCCTTATCTATATATAGTGCCTCTCATCACCTCTCTCCTGCTCCCCCACCCCCCCTAAGCTTTGGGGTTAAGGAGATTACTACCATTACTCTGGTACACAACTCATCATGCCTCTGTCATGATCATCTGCCTATTTCAATTTCAGCAGGTCCTTACTGGCCCTAGATAGAGAGATCTACAAGCGTATATTAATACACAGGCTCACTAATGGTTCACGCTCATATTTCCTTCAGGAGAAGGATAACAGCCCATCGCCACACTCGCATGACCTTAAAGGGACACTATAGTCACAAGAACATCTACAGCTTATTGAATTTGTTCTGGTGAGTAGAATCATTACCTTCAGGCTTTTTGCTGTAAACACTGTCTTTTCAGAGAAAATGCAGTGTTTACATTACAGCCTAGTGATAACTTCACTGGCCACTCCTCATTTGGCTGTTAGAGATCCTTCCTGGGTCATGGCTGCCTAAAATGCATCCAAACATTCAGTATCTCCTCCCTCTGCATGCAGACACTGAACTTTCCTTATAGAGATACATTGATTCAATTCATCTGTATGAGGAGATGCCGATTGGCCAGGGCTGTGTTTGAATCATGCTGGCTCTGCCCCTGATCTGCCTCCTTGTCAGTATCAGGCTACCACTTCTGATGATGTCAGCAGACAGCTTGTTTTTATGAGGCAAACGGAATGCAGATCTACAGCTTCAGGCTTGAATACAGTAAGATTTTTCTATACTTATGGAGGCATGAGGGGCCCATGGGGGCTAGATGGTGGTTTTAACACTATGGGGTCAGGATTACATGTTTGTGTTCCTGACACTATAGTGATCCTTTAACAGGTATCCCTCCAATAGAGGCAACCCACTTGCTATTAAAATATTAACAGTCACACGTATTTCTTTGTTTTATTATTTTATTTATAAAAAAGTATTACATGGATGTCTAAAATACTCAATCTGTTCACGCACCTATATTACTATCTCTATGTAGACATGTTCACTAGCCTGCTTGCTATATCTTTATTACCAAAAAACTAAAAAGTGCAGTACATCTTGACCCTCTCTGTTTCTATATTGTCATTTTAAATCCTGTCACGTGTCATTACAAAAACTTGTACTTATCACTGCCTGCCTAAAATAAAGATTTTTTATTTATTTTTTTTTAAAAGGAATTTTTGGTTCTATCATTATATTCTGTATTTCAAATACATTGTTATGTCTTATTTTTTATGAAAAGTACATAGTATTGAATGAGTTACATGTGTACTAAGATGTGTCGACTGGTGCTATACACACACATGCACACAAATACACAAACAAATAATAATTTATATTACATGATTTAAAAAAGAAAATTAGAGTAACAACCAAGGATAGGGTAAGGCTATGGACTCTGTTATGTTAGGGTAGCACAAGGTTATACATGCAGTGGTCTGCCTGGGATTTCTATGAGTTACACTCTTCGATAGCAGCTTCTGTTTAGAGCTGCTGTCCTTAAACAGATACTATAGCATTAGTAATACAAATCTGTATTCCTAATACTGTAGTGCCCTCTGGTCCCCATTTTCCTCACGCTCTGATCCCACATCACCCCACCCCCAGAAGCTAAAGGATTTCAAAACCCTTTATTCACATACTCAATTACAGCACTTATGTCGGCGATCCGCCTCCTCTGACTTCATCTGACGGGGACTAATGTGCATGCATGGCGAACACATTGAGACAATGCTTTCCTATACTTTTCCTACAATGTAAACATTGTAGCTTCTCTAAAACTGCAATGTTTTACATTGCAGGGCTGAGGGGACAGGAATACTGCACTCAGACCACTTAAATGTGGTCTAGGTGCCAATAGTGTACCTGTAAGGTTGAAATTAAAGGAACACGCTAAACACCATAACCACTACAGTGAACTGTAGTGGTTATGTGTGCCAAGAGTATCCATTGTAAGTAGTCAAACCATTTTAGAATGGTTTAAATTATTAAAAGTGGCCCACTGGGTGCCGCTACCTTCCTCCTTTACAGCTCAGTTAGAGCCAGAAGCTCTGAACTAACCTTGACGGGTCAGGCTTTAGTTCATGGGCTAAGAGAAATCAGCTCATTCTCTCAGCCAATCAGCTACATCATTAGCTAGCTTACCTACCAATTTTCAGTGAGTTGTAGTGTAGACTGGGAGCAGTGCCCGGCGGGCCACGGGTAAAATGCCAAACCCTTCAAAAACAGTTTGATAACGTACAACAAGGTGTGTGCACTACAGGCACTATAACCACTACAGCTCGCTGCATTGGTTAAGATGCTTGGAGTGTTCCTAAAAGCAATGTTTGATTTTGTTTGTTTGTTTTTTAAATAATTAAAGCATTAATAAAGAGACACCAAAATGGGGGTAAAAGACACATGAAGGGCCAAATGAAGCAAAAAATTAGAAATGCCCTTCCATCCTACCTGGTAGTTCTCTTCCTGTCCTGCAGGCTGCTTGACTTCTTGCAGATCACTTATCACTGCTGTCAGTTGCTGACATGTGAACCTAAAGTGGCCAAAGGAGTAACTTTTAGAATGACCTGGCTGCAGAACATCTTTATTTTACATATCATTCCATGTTTAATTGCAAAAAAAAAAAAAGTGCAAAACGTAAAAGAAATGCACATTGAAAATTGCAAAAATATAAATGTACATTTCAGCTTGCTGTAAGTAGAGGAAAAAGTAGAAAGCAGCCCATCTGGAGAGGGGCTGAATCAAAATCAGCAGCAGCTGTTGAAAGTATAACTCCCACCAACCTTGGGCAGACTGGAAAATGAGTATCCTAGTGCTGCTTTAACATTATAGGAACCCTATCCCTAACACTAACTAGTCATACCTTCATACTAGTCTTAACTATATCCCTAAACCAAATCCTAACTCTAACATGCAATACATTAATATAGCATGTACGTATATTAAAGGAAAGTATAGCAATGCCATATTGGCTTTCATGGAAAATTCATATATATATGATGTGGATGCAGAAAGTCAAAACACTCCAGACACGGATTTAGAAAAAATAAAAATAAATAAAAGTTGGAGTGAATAAATAACTAATAATGGTATCATTGTTGGATATATAAAATACCCAGCAGATTAAATGCCATATGCCTTTTAATCTACTGATATTTCTTGGAAGAGACATCTATATACAGTATTATAAAATGATGTCACACAGAGCGTTCTGACAATAACGACTGTTACAAGATTTTAACAATTACAAAACAGACAAATAAGAGGACATGTGGATTACATTATGGAGTAAAGCAGACTCCACTCACATCTGAACCTGCGAGTCTTTCTCTGCAATATTTATATGTCAAGTGCATGCCTCGTGCTTTAATTATACTTTGTATTTTAAGAATGAATGAAACACATCAATAGATTCATTCTCTGCTATCACACCCACCATCAAATGTATAATTATGCTGTCTGATCTAGCAGTGTGCACAACATGTGTAAACTGTGCAGACAAGAATAAATCCATACTTTAGTTGAATGAGACAAGGGAAGAGTTTATTGAGCCCGGGGGAGGGTTATTGGTGATGGTGGGCTATGGGCTGGGAAAAGGGAGGGGAGGTCTCACAAATGCCAGTCAATCCCTCCCTCCCATTATAATCTTACCTGCAGTAGCCCATGTCCTGCCATTCACTCCTGGGTATCTCTAAGGAAGAGAAGCTCGTTCTGGAATCAGTGAGGACCAGCCTTAGTTCTGGATCTGACGTTCTCTTTTAGAATCTTGGAGTCTGCATGTGGAACTTTATAACACTTACTCATTGGAGCCTGTAGAACCCCCAGCCTTAACGTATTGCAAGGGGGAGAGGACTGCGTCGCCAGGATGGGGGTAGCGAGGTGGGCACATCAGCAGCAGCATGGCTCTCACAGACGACCTGCAGTCTATATCTGTTTCACTCTGGGTATCCTTACCTTTCTCACACCGGCTGCAGCACAACTTGATCAGCGTTTATCCAACCCGGACAATATCATAGTGGCCAATCGCGGAATTCGTGTGCCCTTTGGAAGATCTGTATTTCTGGACCCTGTACAGGATCTGATCATACAAGTACAACCGGGAGATACGTGTATTCTGAGTGTTCTAGGCAACGACCCCTTATCTCAGAGACCTGGATCACTCACCCCTAAAAGATTCCCTTGCGATTTTGGCCCCGGAGAGGTGAAATACACTCACATGGGCTCCCGTAGCCCCTCCAGCGACAGAGTGAGACTCCAGCTCAAGTATGACTCGCCCACCGACACTTTTATTGTGCCTTTCGTACTGGAAGTGGAGGTGATCTTCCAGCAATTGGAAATTGTGACCCGAAACCTGCCATTGCTGGTGGAGAAGATCCATGGACTTAGTGTTCCCATTGACAAGAAGGTTCTGGGCTTCTCCTACGATCATGCAAGGGAGTCTTGTAGGATTACACCGCTCATTGGAACAGGGGGGCTCCCAAGGTACGGTCAGTTACTCAGCTTACCTACTGACCAACAGCAGGGTACTGATTGCCAAACTTTCACCACCTCTGACATCCGTTATCAGCACACTGCTCCCCATAACTCCCCCAATAGAGACTATGTGCCCATGCTGGTGGAACTCACTGATGAAAAGGGATCCTTAAAACAAGAACACTTCCATGTCACCGTGAGGATCAAGGAAGGATCAGAAAACACCCCTCCACGCCCGAGCTTTGTGTCCATGATGATGATGGAAGTTGACCAATTCGTCCTGACAGCCCTTACCTCTGAAATGTTGGCAGCAGAGGACTTGGAGTCTGATCCAGGGGACCTTATCTTCAACCTCACAAGTTCTTTAGACCCGGAGACATCTGGTTATCTGATCAGTACTGATGATCAAAATTTGCCCATTACTTCATTCTTTCAGAGTGACCTTACTGAGCTGAGAATTGCCTATCAGCCCCCAGCAAGCGAGTCCTGGCAAGAAAGGATCCTGCAGCTGGAGATGCAGGTGATGGACACTGAAGGTGCCACTTCGGATCCATTCGCCTTCATGATTGTGGTGAAACCCATGAACACATTGGCCCCACTAGCTACACGGAACACCGGTCTCTGGCTTCTGGAGGGCCAGTCACGCCCCCTGTCAGGGCCAGGTTCTGGTATGAACAATTTGGTTATCAGCGATGAGGACAACCTAGATGAGGTGAAACTGAGTGTGGTGGATGGTCTTAGACATGGTCAGTTGTTTTTGGCACAACAGGGCACCAGTAGCCACAGTGCTCCCAAGGGCTTTACCTTTACACCTCACGAACTACACTCTGGCCTAGTGATTTATCAGCATGATGGCAGTGATACCTACAGTGATAATATTATCCTTAGACTTGATGATGAAAGACATAGAGTAGAATTGCTCTACCCCATTACTGTATCTCCAACAGATGATGAACCTCCAGTGCTAAATGCAAACACAGGTTTGACTTTGCCTGAAAAGAGTTTGGCTATTATCTCTCCCTTCATGCTCAGTGCCACAGATATTGACTCCGAAGATTCAACCATCATGTTTGTGCTACAGGAGCCCAAAAGCAATATTGGGGAGATGGTGTTGAGGCAGCCAGAAGAACCAGAAGATGAAGAAGGGTGGATCTTCCTGCCTGAAGAAGGAGTGTATGAGAAGGTGGTGAGTGAGTGGAACCAAAGAGACATTCTGGATGGTAGACTTTTTTACAATCACATTGGACCTCATAGCCCTGAGACAATTCTAGACAGGTTGCTGTTTGTGGTGCTGGATGACAATGATCCACCAAACCAGTCTGGTGTCCAAGTATTTACAGTGAGAGTGGAACCTGTAGATGATATTCCACCAGAACCCTACCAGGGGACCACACTGAACATGACTGTCAAGGAGTATGAAGTGACCCCATTCAAGAAGAAGCATCTCCGTTACACCGATCTGGACACAGATGACAGAGTATTAAAGTACACTTTGGTCAGCCATCCCAGAGATACAGACATTAATCACCATGTCCTTACTGGGCATATAGTGCTTAGTGATCACCCAGATGTACAGGTGACAAATTTCACTCAAGCCCAGATCAACCACCACAAGATCTCCTACAGACCTCCAGAGAAGGAGCTGGGAATAGTCCCAAAAGTGTTGCAGTTCAACTATACAGTAGAGGATGCTTCAGGTAATTCAGTCCAAGGGACATTTACTATCTATTTACAACCTGTTGATAACAAACCCCCTGTAATCACCAATAGTGGTTTTACTGTTCCAGAAAGGGGTTCATTCACCCTTAGCAAATCAGAACTGGATGCCACAGATCCAGATACAGACACAAGCAGCATTGTCTTCACTTTGTCTCAGGTGCCCCTACATGGAGAACTGCAATATAATGGGGTAGCCATGGAGTTAGGAGAGTCATTTATCATGTTAGATATAGTACATGGTCGTGTTTCCTATCTTCACAGTGGAGATGAGTCCACCAGTGACTTATGTTCCCTAGTGGTCAGTGATGGGGTACACGAAGTACCAATTACAATCAGAATTAATGTGAAGCCTGTGGATGATGAAGCTCCCACCTTGATGCTCCCAGGAGGTCTTTGGGGTTCCTCAATAGAGGTCCTAGAAAGGGGGGAAACTGAGATCACCAGCAATGTCCTTCAGGGTACTGATCCTGACACTGATGATCTTATGCTTACTTTCATCATAGAAGAACCTCCTAAGTTGGGGGACATATTGGTCAATGGTGTGCCATCTGAAAGGTTCTCTCAGCAAGATATCCTGAACGGTGCAGTAGTCTATGTCCACACCTCTGGTGAGGTAGGTCAGCAAAAGTTGCATGATAACTTCAATTTATCAATTTCTGACCTTTCTAATGAGTGGGTAAATGGAGGCAACAAGGTTAAGGGCGTGAGAGTACAAGTCACCATACTCCCCGTGGACAGCGAAGCACCTGTGATGAAGTTAGAAGAACAATTTTCTGTTCTTGAAGGCGGGAAAAACATCATAACTTCTGAACACCTTCAAGGAGAAGATGTGGATACCCCCAAAGATGACATTTTGTGCACAATTATTGTCCAGCCAACTTCAGGTTATGTGGAAAATATCTCTCCAGCTCCAGGTTCTGAAAAGTCCAGATCTGGAACCCCAATCAGTGCCTTTTCAATAAGAGATATCCATCTGGCTCATATTTACTATGTGCAGAGCATTCATCTTGGAGTGGAACCATTAGAAGATAGATTTACTTTCAGCTGTTCAGATGGAATCAATTTCTCTGAGAGACTCTTTTTTCCTATTGTTATCATCCCGACCAATGATGAGAAACCAGAAATATTCACCCGGGAGTTTATAGTCATGGAAGGCATGAGCTTGGTGATTGATACCCCTATTCTCAATGCTGGTGATGCAGACCAGCCACCAGATGATCTTCTCTTCATCATTACAAAGCCACCAAAACATGGTAGAGTAGTACAACAGCAAGCCTCTGGTATATTCCCAATTTTGAACTTCACCTTGGAAGAGATTAAAGAGAACTCTAACATTGTCTATGAGCATGATGACTCTGAAACCAAGGAGGATAGTTTTGAAATTCTCTTGACTGATGGAGAACACAAGTTGGAAAAAAATGTTCTCATTATGATAATTCCTGTAGATGATGAGACCCCAAGAATGGCTATTAACGATGGTCTGGAGGTTGAAATTGGAGAATCAAAGTTAATCACTAATAAAGTCCTAAAAGCCACAGATTTAGATTCAGATGACAAGACATTGACTTATATAATTCGATATGGCCCTGGCCAAGGAATTTTGCAGCGTCTGAGCAAAGATGGGGCTCATTTAGGTAACATCACTCTGGGTATGAATTTTACACAAGATGATATTGATAATGGATTCATTCAATATACCCACACCGGGCAAGAAGGCATCCGTGACCTTATTAAGTTTGACATTACTGATGGGACAAACCCATACATTGACAGATATTTCTACATAAATATTGGCAGCATTGACATTGTTTTCCCAGATGTCATCAACAAAGGAGTCACATTAAAAGAAGGAGGGAGGGTGACACTAACTACAGACCTTCTTAGCACAAGTGACATCAACAGTCCAGATGAAAACCTGAGGTTCAGTATTACAAGGGCTCCCAGTCGTGGTCATCTGGAGAGCACAGATGGGCCAGGAGTTCCCATCACATCTTTTACTCAACTCCAGCTGGCAGGAAACAAGATATACTATATACATACTTCAGAAGATGAGATGAAGATGGATAGCTTTGAATTTGAGGCTACTGATGGCTATAACCCAGTTTTCCGGACATTTAGGATCTCAATTACAGATGTGGACAACAAGAAGCCAGTCCTTACAATTCATGACCTACTGGCCAGTGAAGGAGAAAATAAGCTCATCACCCCCTTTGAGCTGACTGTAGAAGATAGGGACACACCTGACAACCTGCTTCGGTTTACTATCACCCAAGTGCCCATTCACGGCAGAATCATGTTTAATAGCAGCAAGCAAGTGAACACTTTCACTAAACAAGACTTAAACGAGAATCTAATTAGTTACAGACATGATGGGAGTGATTCTCATGAAGATAGTTTTTCCTTCACTGTCACTGATGGTACACACACAGAGTTTTATATAGTGCCCCATACCTTTGAAACCAGGAAACCTCAACTAATGAAGATTCAGATAAATTCAGTTGACAATGGAGTACCCCAAATTATTGTCAACAAGGGAGCACCAACTTTAAAAAGCCTCCCCTCTGGACACTTGGGATTTATGATCACCAGTAAATCTCTGAAGGCAGAAGATAGAGACAGTCCACATAAGCAACTCAAATACAGAGTTATTGATGGTCCAAAACATGGCTTTATCATGAACATGGCTCAAGGCAACGACTCCATCAAGACATTCACTCAGGGTAAGTGTGTGTTATTGACATCAGATATTATTTTTAATCCATCTCTCTTTTTCTCACTTATAGCTCTCTTCCTTGCTCTCTACTCCCCTCTCTTTTCTATAACCTTTATGACCTTTCCTCTCTTTCTATGCCCTCCAGTCATATGTATTCAGTTCCTTGAAAGTTCTTCACATTTTTATGTATTAACAGCTAAAGTTATAAGTAATAGCTTCACAAGTGGAATATTTTTTAAACACATATATTAAATCTTAAAATGTTTATTTTGTTTTTATTAGGTGATATCGATGATTTGAAGATCTGCTATGTTCTAAAAGAGGGTGACAATGTCACGAGTGATATATTTCATTTCTCAATAGAAGACATTGGTAAGTGTATATTTTAACAAGATTTGCCAAACAGAAGCTAATTATATTACACAGTCTTTAGTTTTATTTTTTTTTATTTTTTATTTATATCCTTAGTATTAATATCTATTGGATCATTTCCATAATGCATCAATGCATGAAACATTTTGTACCACTTATATTTTCAGTTCACATTGCTACAGACATTGGGGTTTGTTCACTAAATTGAGAGTTGTGGATAATTGACACAGTAATTGTAAATTGAGGTAAAAAATATTCTGCCCAACTGTTTGTTCAGTTGGGCTTCTTTTGCATAAGAGTTGTAATTTCTTGATCAGTTTTAACAATTTACAGTTTGGTGAATAAGCTTCATTGTCCAATATTTTCCAGTCAAATTGAAATTTCTGCTAAAATTATACAGGAATGTAAATTGTAAGAAAGGAATGAACCATGATTCTATAGCAAATAAACTGGTCTAATGACACAATTTCCACTGACATGTGTGGACAAGCACAAGGTTACAGAATCACCTGAACTGCTGAATGGAAGCATGCTTCAATGGTAGCATGAGTAAAGATGGAGAAATACAAATGTTGTTTTTTTGAGGGACATATTCCCAGCTACTATTTTTAAAGGAACACTATATGGTCAGGAACACAAATGTATTCCTGACCCTATAATGTTAAAAACACAATCTAGTTCCCTGGCCCTCATACATACAGTACAGTCTTTGTTTTATTCCAGTTTGCTGCTGCTTGCTTTGCCCCTGATTTGCCACCTTGGCTGACACTATTACAAGTGTTGTCCAGATCCAGCCACAATGCTTTCTCATAGGAAAGCATTGGATTGGCTGAGTCTTTCAAGGGTCAGATCAGGGGCAGAGCCAGCACAAGCCAAACAGAGCCCTGGCCAATCAGCAGCTCCTCATAGAGATACATTGAGGAGTGACCAGTGGAGGTATCCCTAGGCTGTAATGTAAGCACCGCCTTTTCTCTGAAACAAACAGTGTTTACTGCAAAGTGCCTGCAGTGAATGATTATACTCACCAGAACTAATACAATAAGCTGTAGTTGTTCTGATGACTATATTGTCCCTTTAAAGAAACATTTTAGTGTTAGAAATACAAAGATGTATTCCTAACACTAACATGTTCCTCAGCCCCCGCTGCTCCCCTCCACATGTTGTAGAGGGTTAAATAACCCTTTAATCACTTACCCGATTCTAGTGCCAGGTCGGGGCACCTCCTCTGACATCATTTAATCGGGGGACCTAATGTGCATGCACTGTGAGTGACACAAGTGCATAAGGCCTTAATGCTTTCCTATGGGCATTTCTCTGATGCTGGATGTCCTCATGCTGTCTGGCATACAGCCACTAGAGGCAGTTCTATTACTGCAATATAAACATTGCAGTTTCTCAACAGCTGTAATGTTTTGCATTGCAGGACTAAGGGAGACAGGGACACTGCACCTAGACCACTTCCAGTGAGATGAAGTGGTCTAGGTGCCTATAGTGTTCCTTTAAATGCTGTTTTTTTTTATTTGTATTTTATTGAATTTCCATTCCCAGAAATACAACTGTGTCATAATATGAAAATGAAAAGTGACAGAGGGTACCAACATTGGTCCATCTGTGATACATTATCTTCATCTGGGTGTTCATAATATAATAACATGCTGTGTATCTCGGTACCATACAGTGAAGGGTTAACTTATCCTTGGGACCTCTGTCCTGTTGTCCTGTCTATTTGTATGGGCTATGACTGGGTGATGTCTCTCTATATTCGGGCTAAGAGTCTATTATGGGTCAAGTCCTCTGAGATGTGTGTGTGAAACTTTATACAGTGTCCAACGTATCTAACTTGCTGGTATATTACAAGTACTGGTCCTCCCTTGCTTGTTCGCTCGGGGACCTTTGTGACGGTCAGCTGCCTGCTGATCTCGACTATGTGCGTGGTGTGCCTGGGAGTCGCTGGTGGGCACGTGGCTTGGCCTTAAGGATTTTTTTCAGGGTTGTGTTTGTCACCTGAAGTCGCTGTAGGAACGTCTCCTGGTCTCCGTCAGGGGGCAATGTTAGTGTTTCCTCAGTCTACTAGCGGTTGGGCCTAACTGCCTTTTCGCTGCCAATACAGCAAACGGGAGATCATTGTATATAGCTACCATGCAGCCTTCAAAGTTCACAGTTTTCAGTTCTCTCAAAAGTGCCATAATGGCGGAGCTGGCCGCAACGTTCTTGGTAACTGCAATTATGCCTCTGTGTGCCTCTGCTGGGGCTGAGGCGGCTTTTCTGATCCGGAATGCGGTCATCACCATCTCCGAAGCAACTCCAATTTTGGCCTCCATGTGGGTCAGCATGCGGTGCAGGAAGGGCAGGAGGTCATCCCCTGTGATCCGCTCCGGTACTCCTCTGATGCGAACGTTTTTCCTCCGGTGTCTGGACTCTAGTACTGTCACAGTCTTGGACAGATGTTGGACCTGTTGGGCCAGGCCTTGGATCTCCTGCTGGGCAGTCCGCAGCTGTGTCTCCCTCTCTCCATCTTTGGACTCCACCGCCGTGAGTCTATTACCCAGGTTGCCAATTTCCACCTGTGTCGCCCATAGGTCTGCCTTCCATATTTGCCTCATTTCAGTCAGGAGGCATTTAATGTCCCTCTTTGTTGCTGGCGCTGAGTCTGCATCGGAGTCAGACTTACTGGTAGTGCCGCTCACTAGGGTATTCCCCTTGGGCTGTTCCGCCTCACTCATCCTCACTCTGCCTCTTTGGCGCCATCTTGGGGGCTTCCCGCCGGGCTGGCCAGTCTAACAAAAGCCTGATATCAGGCATTGTACGGGTCTCTGGTGCGTGTTTTTTTTTTTTTTACCCCATTTGGTCAACTGTTTGGGGGTGGGTGTCTCGGTGGTCGTGGGAGCCGTTTAGGTAAGTTAATCCCTCTTTATTTGGGCCTCTGGTTCAGAGCTCCTCTCAAGCACGTCTTGCTTGCTACACAGTCGGTCACGTTCCCACCCCACCCCCCCCCTTTAAATGCTGTTTAATGAACTTACTCAGCTTTGTTACATTGTCAAATCTGATTTATACATGGGAAAACTTAAGTAACCTTTACCTTATCAGTGTAGGTGTAGTAAAACATAATCACAAAGCATGATGTAAACTTTGCATTACTAAAACGGTTACTTGCCAACCTGAATTTTATTAAATTAAATCTGAATGGCAAAAGTCATATTAATATAACCAACTTATGAATATAGCCAAATTATTCCAAATCAGCTCATTTTAGCCTAATTAAGATTCAAGCCGTGATTAAATATTTATGGATAAGCTCGTCAAGTGATTAAATATTTTGAAAAACATTTTAAAACTTTACCTAAAAATATTAAATAATTCGAAAATATTATCCAAAATATTAAATGAAGACCTTAATTTAGTTAACACCAAATCTAGTGGATAACCAAAACTTAAAAACTTAAAGGCCCTCTCTTTTTTCTCCTACACTGTCAGGGTTATTTACTTGGATGCAGCTTAAGCAGAGTTTGCAAATATTAGGCAAAAATAGCTGAACTGTCAAAAATGTTCAAATTGGCTATTTTAACAGCTCAGCTCTTTTGGCTTAAAATTTGAAAATCTGGTCAATTCCTATCTAGTAAAAGACCCACGTGAGCATATGTAAATTGTCCCTCTCAACATCTGGTAAACACAGTTCACATGAGCGTTTTAATTTGGTTTTATTCAAAGATGTTACAATATATTGTAGATGTTGTCATGAAATAAGTTTATGCGTTCCATCTTGCTACTTTATGTAAAACTGTTTTCAATAAATACTGATATAAGCAAAAGCCTATCCCTCCCAATACCTGGTACTCTTGCCTGCAGTGCAGATAATGATAAAATTCATATCATCCCATCAAAGCAATCCAACTCCCGATGGCAGCAATAGGCTACAAACTCTGGGTTCTTGGTGCTCACAGTCTTTCAATGGCATTCAAGGTTAGACTGCCTTAGACGTAAAATGTGGACTTGAAGTGTCTATGTTATCTGAACGGTAAGCAAGGAGCTTGGTTAAGATGACTGTTACCCCGTGTTGTATTTAATAGCAACTAATATAATGAGAGGGTATGAAATTAAGGCCTGCCAGCGATGGCCACATAGCCCCAAAAAAGAATACTAGAGCACAAATCCCCTGGACCTCTTCTAAGCATTGACGGACAGGCAAAAAAATGTTTACACAACCAGTGGGTGCTCCTACCTAATTAAAAAGGTTTACTGCAGAAATGCTTTCATACATTCTCCTGACATCAGCCAGAAGGAGCTAGCTTCACCCACTGGGAGTGCAGACATGCTGCGTCTTCAACTGGATCACTACTAGAGATCAGGGCTCCTGCCTCCTTGGCCCAAGGTAAGCCTCAGATGGGGGAATACACTTTAGTTTTTTTTTTTTTAATAAAAATGTTTTTTCCCCTAAATACAGTAGTAAGTCAATATACTCTAACAATAACCCCTGTAACCCACTATAATCCATATTCTCCCACTACAGCCCCAAACTGAACACAAAAAGCAGCCACCCCCAGACACACTACCCCACTAGCAGCATTCCACAAACATGCAACACCACAAGCAGCCTCTACACATATACACAGACACCCTCTGTCAATACTGTCATCAGTTATCATCCAATTACCCATCTAGTCACATTCACAATTTAATCATACTCCAAACTTGCTGTATAAATGCATTGAATCTTATACTGTAAACTTTGTAAATTTTGTGTATATTTATATATATATATATATATATATATATATATATGTATATATACAAAGTCCTGGTTTCATATGCAAATATATTTCCAGGCCAACTCCTGTGGCTTTGCACCCCTCCCTGTCACAGGTGCCTCATTCCAAGACCCTATTTCACCTTGACCTGCAGAGAGTCCCAGGAGGAAGTATTTCCTAAGTAAGTGGATTTGTCTCATAAGAGCCAAATTGGGGTACATTAGCATTGGGGCAGGCTTATGCAATGTATGATTATATACTATAACTAAATCCCCATTATTTTTGCAGATGTTTAAAAAAAATATATATATATAAAATGCTGTGAGCTTTGAAGTTGCTTTTTAATAGATGAGTGTGTGCAGTCTTGGGGCAGGAGAGTAAATTCAGGCCTGTCTATATGTAGTATTAGTTTGTGTGTGTAATAAATGTGCTTAGATGTATGTGGGAAGCACGGGCGTAGGAACCGGGGGAGAGGTGGTTCCTACGCCCGGGCCTCCCCCCCCCAAGCAGGGCTCGATTGCCCACGAGGCAAACGAGGCATATGCCTTGTTAGCCTCAGTGCGGGCGGCTAGCTGAGCTCCAGGCGGGCAGCAAGGGAGCGCTGATTTGTGAGCTCTCTCTGCTCATCATATTCTGGCTCCAGGCATCACTCTGCGGTGCGCCCTGGAACTCAGCTAGCCGCCCAACTGCCTGCACGCCTGCCTTCCTCCCTGCCCAAACAGCCCGGCCCCACTGGACCCTAGGTAACAAATCCATCCAGCTCTCCCTAAGGTAAGGAGACTGGGTGGATTTAAATTAAAATAAAATAATCTGTGTGTGTTTGTGTGTGTGTCTGGCTATGGCTGTCAGTGTGTGTGTGTGTGTGTGTGGGGGTGGGTGTGTGTGTGGGTGTGTGTGCGTGTATCTGTCTGTCAGTGTGTCTGTGTGTGTGTGTCTGTGAGTGTGTGTGTCTGTCAGTAAATGTGTGAGTGAATGAGTGTGTGTGTGTCTGTCAGTGTGTCTGTCTGTCAGTGAGTCAGTGGGCCCCCTACCCACCATACAGCCCCCCTGCCCACCTTACAGTCCCCCTACTCACCATACAGCCCCCCTACCCACCTTACAGTCCCCCTACCCACCATACAGCCCCCCTACCCCCACCCACCTCACTGCCCCCAACCCACCTCACAGTCCCACCCACCTTACAGTCACCCTACCCACTCACAGAACCCCTACCCACCTCACAGCCCCCCGCCAACCTTACACTCACAGTCCCCTTACCCACTTACAGTCCCCTTACCCACCATTCAGCCCCCTACCCACCTTACAGAACTCCTACCCACTTCACAGCCCCCATCCACCTCACAGTCCCCCTATCCACTCACAGCCTCCCTACCCACCTTACAGAACACCTACCTACCCACAGTCCCCCTACCCACCTTGCATAAGCCCTACCAACCTTACAGAACCGCTACCCACCTCACAGCCCCCCCACCAACCTTACAGTTACCCACCCACACAGCCCCCACCCACTCACAGTCCCCCTACCCATCATACAGCCCCCTACTCACCTTACAGAACCCCCACCCACCTCACAGTCCCCCTACCCACCTCACAGTCCCCCATACACCATACAGCCCCCATACCTACCTTACAGAACCCCTACCCATCTCAAAGCCCCCATCCACCTCACAGTCCCCCTACCCACTCACAGCCCCCTACCCACCTTACAGAACCCCTACCCACCTCACAGTCCCCCTACCCACTCACAGTCCCCCATACACCATACAGCCCCCATACCTGCCTTACAGAACCCCTACCCATCTCACAGCCCTAATCCACCTCACAGTCCCCCTACCCACACACAGCCCCCCTACCCACCTTACAGAACCCCTACCCACCTTACAAATCCCCTACCTACTCACAGTCCCCCTACCCACCTTGCATAACCCCTACCCACCTTACAGAACCCCTACCTACTTACATTCCCCCTACCCACTCACAGTCCCCCTACCCACCTTACATAACTCCTACCCACCTTAGAGAACCCCTACCCACCTCACTGCCCCCCTACCAATTCACAGACCCCCTACCCACCTTACAGCAGTAGTGACATGAGCACTTAAATGAAGAGGCATGAGACTTGGGAAAGGAAAGGACATGGGCATTAGAAACGAGGAGGGGACATGTGGATTTAGGGAAACTTAAATTTAGGGAGAGGAGTGGACATGTGGAAATGAGGGGATTTGAAGACTTATGGAAAGGAGGGGCTCTGCAGAGGAGGGGATATGTGGACTTAAGAATGGGAGAGCACATTGGGATTTGGAGACAGAAGGTTGGTATAAGGACTTGGAAAGAAGAGGGAACATAAGAACAAGGTTGGCGCCTCCTATAGGCGACATAGGCAGTCGCCTAGGGCACAACGGCCTGGGGGCACCAGATTTAAGTGACCGGCAGGATGGAAGTGCACAGCACTCCCTCCTGCCGGTCAGTCAATGTAGTGTGGCCGGGCGGCGCTGACCATGGTACAGGAGCTTCTGTTTCCTGTACCTGGCCGCAGGCGGACTGACATCAAGAGCTCACTCAGTGAGCGCTTCCCTTTAGTCTGTCGGCGGCTGGGTACATTAAACAGAAGTTCCTGTACTGCGGGACTGCCCTATTTTAAGGAGTGGCATGAGACAGGTCAGTGTTTTTAATATGCCATCCCACTGATAAGGAGATGATGGTGTTAATGGATGAACAGCCACTGGTTGTCATTTTGTAGACGTGCACCCATCGTGAAGGAATTTGCTCACATATATGGGGACTCCTATATTCTTTTTGTTACTTTATACCGTGGTGATTGTCTAGCATGATCTGGACAGCCAAAACATTCCTTAACTCTCGCACTGCTGAGTGTTTTTAACTATTTGCAGGCTGACTAATAGCATTGCCAGCATGCATATTGTCCAGATTTTAGTAAATTCGCCTGCAGAAATGTAGATAAATTTATTTAGTGAGTTTAAATAAGAGAAGTGCAAATCTGGTTGAATAATCTTGTAGAAGAACATTAAATATCTATGTAGACATAATAGAATCTAACAGTGTGTATGTAACTATTCAAACTACTGCACTTGGGAGGGTTATTCACAAAACACAGAATTGAGGTAAACTAAAACCCAAACTGGTTAAAATAGCTAGTTTTCCAAACCAATACGTTTTGCCACAATTTACAGTTTGGTGTTAAATTCACTACAATTTAGAGAGTAATGAATAAACCCTGATGTTTAATAAAACCATGGATATTGAACCATTAGTGAACCTTTTATCGACTGATCAATTACCTGCCCAAGACCATATTAAAAGAAACCAAAATAAGAACTGATAATGATCACCAGCAGATTCCTAGAACCTTTCATTTAAAATATTCTAAGATACAAATTAACATGTATTCATTCTGCAGCATTGTGCGAAGAACACATGATGTAGGTGGTAATACATGATAAAAGAGGGTTGCACATACCTCAGTAACCATATTTGGTAGTCATGACTACTGTACTACTGAAAAGATGAACTCTTGTGGCAATTAGGCAATCTGTAAATCTTTTACAAGTTTCAAATGGCCTGTGGCCGGAACGTTCTCGGACAGCAATTAAACTTGCTGAAGCCAATCCAGTAGGAAAGTAATTGTCAGGAAATGTGTACATTACAGTTTTTACACCATCTCCTTCAATGCAGAACGGTAACTGATACAGTTTACAGCACAGATCAGGCTCTCGTACCTTTTGTTCTTTTGCTTTCTTTTTAGGAGATATGGAATATTTGGCTAAATCTTTTGTATGGATTTAAATGATTGCCCATTCTCTCTCTCACTGTGTTGCTCTGTAGTATGCTAAATGGTTGTTCATATTTAGAACATAAATTGTAAAAAAAGAACTGTGTATTATTTAATGTGATGCTGTTAATAAATCAAGGCAAGGAGATTGACATAGAACATAGAGGGAGGGAAGGATAGCTGTGTATAGGATTAAATAAATGAAGAATATGGTGACATGCCAAGAAATGTGGCAGAGAAACACATAGAAGGAGGGGGAAAAGGAGAGTAGGAGAAAGCGAAAACTGGCATGGAAGGAGAATATGGGGTGAATAGAGGGAGAGAAAAAAAGGAAGGGGTCACTAGTATTGAACTGACATGGGTCACTAACAAAATACTGGCTCCTTTCTGTTAGTCAAAGTTTATTATTTTGGTTATATAAATATATAATGAGTATGCATATCTCTTATCAAATTAAATGATCTTCCTTTTATTTTAGAAAGCAGATCATTTTCAGACTCTAAGAAAGATGTCTCAGTTTATGACTGCCCTTCAGTGCTGGAAGCTCCTTTCCACCATAAAAGCCAATATTACCCAGGCAGCTGTTGAAATTATAAAGAGGGGAAAATGAGCAAAGTCCTATTTTCATGTCTGGGAAGGAAATTCCAAGACATAGTGGATGTAAGTTGTGGTCAAATGCAGAGTGTGGCTGAGAGTGATAATAATCACACCATAGTAACCACAGCTTATCCTGTGTCTATTTAAGAATAGAGAAAGATCCATGGTGGTCAATCTGTATAATGCTACATACCTGTGCTCTAGAGATAGACGGAGAGTGTTGTGTTCTGAAAGTGGAACAAAGTTCTAAAACTGGAGTAAGCACTAATGGAATATTCTGACGGATTCCATTGGTTTATATGTAATTATCCCACAAATAGAACCTTACACCAGTCTGCACCAAGGAGACAACATTTTAATAAATCACCCATCCCTCAAGCTATGTTGTAACCTGCACTAATGATACTCCCTTCAAATGTACACTCCAAAAATCCTACCTAATACCTTTTAAAACTAGTATAGTAATGGTGTAATGATCAGATTAATACAGCACCATAACAATGTTATTGTAATAATGTACATTTTAAACTCGCAAATTTTATGGCAAACTACTAGGGGAAATCATAACCTATGTTTACCTAGTGTAGGAAGGAAAATAACTTGTCTACTGCATCACTGATTGCTACTATGGATATTTCTAACAAGACGTTTTATAAAAAAGACAATTCAGGGAGAAAATAATTTCATTGTTGGGCAGACTAGATGGGCTGAATGGTTCTTATCTGCCGTCACATTCTATGTTTCTATGTTTCAGGAAGCAGTTACAGACATGAATTATTAGTATGTATTTTTTAAGATATAAAGATATATGTGAATTGAAAGAATTTATGGTAGTGACAATGTTTACTTTATAACATTGAGTGTAGAAATGTAATAGACACTCAGAAAACACAGCATTCCAATACTTTTCTTTTCTCCTTATGATATCAAAGGTAAACATTGTCACAGCACCTGGGGGCCTCACCTATTGTTTAGAGTTTGGAGAACCTTTGGCCCCATGACATTAGGTTTCAGCCTTGCCCTAGAGATCTTTTCTTTCCTTCATTCACTATGTTTTGAAGACTGATGTATTCCGTACTTCAGAAAAAAAGGTTAAAGATCATTGGCAAAATCCTTGTCAAAGATCAGACACATCCAGGAATGTTGTGTCTTTTAAACTCAGAGACGTCATTAGTATTTAGCACTTTGCAGAAAGATAATGATCCAAAAAGTGTTTTATTTATAGTTATTATAATAAAACTAGTAGAATACCATTTCTATTTAATTATACTTAATAAGTAAAATTACGTTAATGACAACAGGAGAGAAAAGGGGATTAGGAACAAATTCTCAGGGGTGTAAAAAGAGAATTGTAGAGAACTGCACAGTTAGAAATATATTTCCATTTGCTGAAATTGATTTAAAAAATCTAGTATTAAAAAAAGAATTACAAAACTAAAAAGCAATAGAATTATATGTGTTACCCCCTAAGGAACTCTTGCAATAAAGATCACATACCTTTTTTCAAGATTACTTTTTCTGTAGAAATACTTTAAAGGAATAAGAGTACCCTAAAAACATAAACCCCCCTTTTCCTCAGAATACACAATGATGACAAGGTTTAGCATTGAGAAGACATGTCTGTAGCTGAACCCTTATCATTTCCACATCTTCTAAATTCCTACGTGAGGGCAGTATCAGGGTCTCTATCAACAAGAAAGGAGTAAGCAGAACACACATTTTCCCTCATCCATTGCACAGCAAGATACCAAATAAAGGGGTCCTACATTATAAACATCACAGTTCATTGAAGTGATGGCTATGGGTCATCCCCATTTTGGGGGGCTCTCCCTAACATTCATAGACAGTTTTATCGATTCTCACAATGATGTAGAAGTAACAACATTTCCGCATTGTCAAGTGTGCACCAATGTAAGCCCTATAGAACATTTTTTAAAACAGTTCTTCTTTGGCGCTGTAATCAAACTGTGTTTCTATGGTTTGATAACTTATCCTATGTCCTGCCAGGCATTAGTTGTCACAGCTTCTGTTTCTGTTTCATGTCTTAGAGCAATAGCTGAATACTCTTGGCCAATGAGTACAGTTCTGGTTAAGCCATGCTTTATTCCGTGGAAACATCTGGCTTATGTATATGTGTTCAGGTACCCAGTTAAGTGTCAGTAGTGGTTATGGTGCTTGAAGGACTAGCAATTTGTCAAAAATAACAATTTGTGAAAAATTTGTTAGTCTGGTTACTGAACAAAAGTAGTTATGTCAGGAGATAAATGTATATTTAGTTTGTCTGTTAATTAAAACCCAAAAGCTTTTTCTTTTGCGCTTCTGAATGAACCTATGTTCCTCTCTTTTACTTTCATCTCATTCTACTTTTGTTACAGAACCTCAAATTTCAAATTGTGTAGAAGGTCTAGCTTAAGCAAGCACTTAGTAACACTCATACTAAATTACAAAAACCAAAAGAGAAGTTAATCTCTTTTAAATCTCAGTTTACTATGTGATCAAGAAAACTTTACTTGTTCAACTGTTTGAGTACTGTTTGAGTGCCATTGACTGGTCAGGTAGAATTGCTAAAAAAAAACAAAAAAAAAACATGTTTTAGATTAAGAGTCTGAGACTGATTGCCGCTGAAAAAGAGATATAGAAATGTCTAGCCAGTAGGCTGCTACAAATGGCAGACCTCAACCCTTGGTTTGTCATTTACAAATAAGAATGCACAATAGCAAAATGCATTTATAATTTTAACCAGACTTGTGACAAATTCACTAGAAAATGCATGGAGACTCTGCCTTGGTAAGTCCCAATACAAGTTTACAAAATGTAGAATTGGCCCCAATTAATTAAAGTGTTTATTTAATTAATACAATGTTATTGCTTTGTAAGCATGCTTTAACCCCTTAAGGACACATGACATGTCTGACATGTCATGATTCCCTTTTATTCCAGAAGTTTGGTTAAGGGTTATTGCTATCCTAATTGAGATGTTAGGCTGATTTTTATTGCTGATTATCTTTGCTTTTAATCTTCTACATTAGTATTGCAGCTATTCAATTACCAGACATATCCAACCTGTAAAGTAGTGCTTGATTTGCTAATTATATTTACATTAGATATAGGTGAGATATACTCATGTCTGCATTTTTGATGTCTACCTGTTTGGAGTACAGTACAAACAGTAACGTTTCTCACCAATAAAAATAAAGGCAATGTTTTCTGAGTCTCCAAAGGACAAATTATTAACCAATTAACATTGTTCTCATCAGTGAGCAGATGTTTATGTGTAATAGGTAATAGCCCCAACGGCACGGTTTTGTGCACTCGAGTTTCCCTTCCTGTAATTTACTGAATCTTTGAAGTCGTAAGTGGAGCTATACCTAATTTAACAAAACAATATAATGTATAAATGTGTTATTTATATGATATTGCTGTGTCACACAGTGCTTTCTTAGTAGCACAATCAGTAAAATCCTTAAGAAGTTTACACTGTAAGCCTTAGAATTAAAGAGCACATACACATCCCTTCTACTGTACAGATACATAGTTCTGAAAGTGCGCATTGTCTTGTCCAAACATGCCTGACTAATAATGCATTTAAATCACTAGCCATGAATTATCTGCTGATACAAACATGGATCTGGCATGTTGGTATGAAGCCGCACATGTGGGAACTTTTGTCCTATCATTTATCAGCTTTATGCCTCCAATGTGTATGTGAATTCTGAAAGTTTTCAAAGATTCAATAATGTAAAAAAACAAACAAGATTCCCCTAGCTGAGCTTGGATTGTTAATAGATCATCCATATAAAGGCATTGAAATATTATACAAGTAATATGTCCTTCCTATGAAGATAAAATAGAGGACTAATTTAAATGCGCAAAGTGCAAGTTAAAGCTCGTTTTGAAAAACATGCGCAACTTACAAATTTGTTGCACATTTTAAGATAGATCATAAAAAGGTGTTATTAAATTATCAGAAGTAAAGTGCACATTTTTTTTTTAAGATTGTAAGTTATCAAGATCAGCTTACATTACTGCAGATGGCTGTTTCCTTAGTGCACTATATCAAGATGGCTGAAATTGGGTTACTTGTTTTAATGAAAACTTTTTATATTTTTTTTTAATGACTTGAATGACTTTTTTAATGACTTTTTAATTTTTTATTTTTAATGACCAACCTCTAGATATATATTTTTTTAATGACTTGAATGACTTTTTTAATGACTTTTTGATCTTCATTTTTAATGAACAACCTCTAGATAACTCTGTTTCGCAGAGCCCTATAGAGCTTCTCACCTCATTACTTACCTATTACTGTGGGGTTTCAGCAGATTCTTGTCATAATTTAGAAATGGTAAAATGTTTGATCAAACTTGAAAAGTTTGTGTTTTTTTTTTTTATTTCTGTTTGTCTTGGGTTTTTGGCAATAGATTTTAAACCATGAAATTGGATATTAGAGTTAATCTGTGCTGGGTGCAGTGCCCTGCTTTGTCTTGCTTGTAATCTCATTGTCAATCAGGATTTGCAATACCAAACCAAAAAAGGGTCTTGTCAAAATTGTAATTGGGTAGTCACACACACTGTCTGTTCTGTAACACTGATAATCATTCAGTCAATATTTATGTATTTATTTAAAATGTGTTTTACCAAAAGCATGCCCTGAGAACTCTCTTATTTTATTTTTATTATTTGGATTTAGACATCTTTACCTATGTGTACCCTATGATTTTTTAATTATTTAATTTCCAGTTAGTTGCACAAATGTTGTTCATCATACCTCAAAGAAACATTTGTACATCACTTATTCCACTGGTTATGTTTGTTAGTGTTTGTTACTTGAACATTGAAATGAAGGAGAATATGAAATTAACCAAAAATGCTTATTTCTTTATATCATTATTTTGAGGCTGTTTAAGATATTTCCACCTTTTAGTCTATTGTTGTCAGTTTTATGTCAGAAGGTAGACTGCCTTGAACAAAATATTTTTTTGTTTTAAAGGAATGCCTTTGTACTTCGTGTTCTGGAAATTAATCTATAGTACGGATGTTTTAGTTTGTGTCTGTAAATAAGTTGTTTAATCGCTGCTTGAAAAGAAAGCAGTGATACACAGAGGACAAGTTTTAAAGTTCTTTTTGTAATGACAATGTAACACGTTGAAATTTCACACGTTGACCAAATATTTCTTTGCATTATTGAGATTTTCGAACGGTGACCAAATGTTTCTTGGCAATATAAATATTACATATGAAAATACGATTTGATTGATGATTTCAACTGAAAATTAAAAGTATGGGGTCTCTCAGGGGGACTCAATACCCATCGTTAAAGGAACTCTCCAAGCACCATTGAAGTCTACTTAAGTAATTATGGTGCTAGGTGTGCTTGGTGCCATCCCATTCTATGTAATCAAACTGTGTTTCTATGGTTTGATAACTTACCCAATGTCCTGCCAGGCATTAGTTGTCACAGCTTCTGTTTCTGTTTCATGGCTTAGAGCAATAGCTGAATACTCTTGGCCAATGAGTACAGTTCTGGTTAAGCCATGCTTTATTCCGTGGAAACATCTGGCTTATGTATATGTGTTCAGGTACCCAGTTAAGTGTCAGTAGTGGTTATGGTGCTTGAAGTGTTAATTTAAAGCAGAACTACCACTATCCTAGAACTACCACTATCCTAGCAACCACTAAGAAAGTGCTTACTGGGATGAGTATTGCAGCAGATTCGGGATCACAGTAGCCCCAGTGCAGCAGAAAGTATGTTTTGGACTACTTTCTTTTCAAGAATGTTATGTAAGAAGCTAACTTAAATTGTAGAACAGTTGCCATTTTTATCATATATTTAAGACACTCTTAGTGTAAAACACATCAGGTCCAGTAAAACTTTCGCATAAACATTTTGCTTGCTGTGCATGGCTTATCACAGGACAGCGACATCATATGCAGAATTATTTTTTTTTTTTAAAGTCTTATCTTCCTGTCATTTTAATTAGTGAAAGACAATTGGCTTGGAGTTCATTAGCATTTCAAATTGATTCCATACCCCCGTCAAGCTGATGTAAAGATTTTATTTTTTTCGAACTTTAAGAAGATTATTTCACCACAGGCCACCCAAGGTTGACTTACTAGAAATAATTAGGCATAAATATAATTGGTTCTGAAGCTGCATTGGGAACTTGGTGTTCCAAGCAGAATGTATAAGTTTCTGCTTGACATTGTAAAGACTATTCATTCCCATGTGAATTCTCAAACATTTTTTCTCACAGTTTCGATTGCAAGACAGAACGGTGACTGTGTTATGTAATATCGCACAAAATGCTATTGTCAGTAAAGTCCAGTTTAGTGGGGCTATAAAATAATTACCACTGGGTTGTCTTTTACATTTTATTAAGAATTCTAATACTTCTTGCCTTTCTTTTTATAGGATCACAAGTATAGGCATAAATACTATATTCTTAAACTTGAAGTATGATAAATTGCAAATAAGATAAAAGCACTTTGTTCACACTGATCAAATATTCCCTAACAATCCATTGTTATTGTGTGCGTAACAGTATGGGCAGAAGAGTGTGTGTGTGTATGTATGTGTGTGTATGTATATGTGTGTGTGTGTGTGTGTCATTCTGGCCCCAGTCCTCTCTCCTCTCTTTCATCTCTACTGGAGACCACTGTGAGAAGTCAGAGGGGGCTGTGTAATGCAGAGATCTGTGTTGGTAGGTGCTTACTTTCCCTAATGGGAAATCCATCCCCGTCCACTAGCCTAATTGCTATGTCATGTCCCATACTTGGATCACTGAATATAGTCCCTCCATTAGAGTTTCCCAAACATCCCAATACAAAACTCACAAATCATCCCCCTACTGCATACTCCATAAATGCCATATTCTGACAAATTTATATCCAATCCCATATTCCCAATTCACCTCCCAAAGCCATTCCCATATAAGTTTGTTTTTAATTTGCCCTATGCCTTCAAGGTTACAGCATTCTTCTTATGGACCAAACCACCAAGGGAACCCATTCGTGGTTGCGCCACCGATATGTCCCACATATTTGTTTTATATACTTTACAAGACTTCATACTTTGAACTAGAGAGAGAGCCTGAAAACAGTTAGCCATATTTGTATTTATCATGTCCTCATGGCCAAGAAGGATGAGCTAACCATGATGCTGCTATGTCTTAATAAATAAAAGTCTATAACAAGCCATAGCAGAATGTTTCCCTAGTGATTTACAATCAGGGTTATTCACTGAACTCAAAATTGTCGGGAAGGCATTCCAAATGACAAAAATGAGGCAAAATATAGTTTTGTCAAATTCAAAGTTTTTAGAAATTCAGAATTTAGTGAAAAACCCTCTTGTGCGGTGTTAAAGGCAAACATACAGTATTTAATATAAAATAATAGAGCAGTTTGGAGATTTTCTAAAGTCACCTGTTTTGAACTCATATTTGCATGTCATTTGTCAGTTCAGCACAACATGCATATTGGTGAATAGCCTCCTGAGATCATTCTTCTCCAGTCTCCTCAAATGTGACAGATCTCCATGGTGTTCTGCATCGTGATGTTCAAGATTAGGAGATAGAGAAACAAGTATGATAACTAAAAAAAAAAAAAAAAAAGCTCTGTAACTTTTTGGGGTGTTTGCATATTTTGCAAAGACCCCAGTTGGTGACTACTCAGCTTCCATTTTGGTGACCCGGGGGTTCAGGGGAATGTATTTTTTTTTTATCTTGCACATGGACTTAGACAGCGCCTTTTACCCTTAGTTGTAGCTCTACCTTTTTATCAAGCTTGTGTCACACATAGAAAAAATACATAAGTATTTCCTACTTTGTCTTATGATATATTTTGACTGCCTAGGAAGTTCAGAAAAAATTTCAACATGAACATTTTAGCTGCTTTGTCATCGACATTAGTGCTCATTAATGTTACAATTTCAATGATATTTTCAAACATTAATAATACTAACCAATTCAACTCTATTCATCCCCAATTATTACTATGATGGCACCAAGAAACCTTTAAGAAAGTGTAAACAGTTTGCAGAATTTGGTCTTACTGACCGTAATATGTTGTAGACATCTCTAAAATATACTTTGGGCAACATGGCATACAAAGAATGCAGACACACATTCAGCAAATATTAGTCCTGGAGCCAGCTATCGAAGCACAGAAAGCAGTAAGCCAATGGAGACTCTATCACTTACCATGTGCTCACCCCAAAGACTAATTATAACCAACACATGCTGCAATCGCTTGCTATAGTAACATTATCAGTGACACTCATGCAGTTTATTTATATCAGGAGCCAAGTGATATAATCTTTCTTTCCTAAAACAAATGTGAGGAAAGTATTACATTTACTACCAATGATATTCAGTTTCCCGACAGTGAAAGTGCTTTATTGAAAGTTCATTAAGTACTGTATTACAATAGCCATTGTCAGAATGAAATTAGTGTAGAGTGGTTACTGGAAGCAGCCATCTTGCTTTTCATGGCACTTGCATTACAATGAGAAATTAACTGAGCATTCTCTGCTGAGCTTGCATAATATTATGAGCAACACCCTCGGCACGTCTGGTATGTCAAACTTACCTTATTACACTTACATTTAAGGTTCATTTACCCAGTTTACAGCGTTGCAGAATATGATGGCGCTTTCTAAACAATTATAATAATAATAATTCCAGGATTTTGAATTACATTACAAGCAAATTATTGCATTGTTAGGTAAAATGTAATTCCTATCTACAAGATTGAATCAAAAAGAACAGTAGCAAAATATTTTATTGGTAGTTTTACATTTTTAAATATAATTTTATATAATTCTTTATGACATGTTTTGAACTCAGAAATAATAACAGTCCTTAAGCACTTGGCCACCTATTGCATTATTTAAAAATACCTCTAACTACTTCCCCCAACCCAAAAACCGAAATAAAATTGAACTCTTACCTTGAATGATTTCTTCGAAAAGGGATCATAACCTTTAGGAAACCTAAAAAATAAAAACGAAATATAAAAAAAGCCCTTAAAGGGACACTCCACCATGGAAATAAAAAAAAAACACGTAAAAGTAACAGGTCCAGTTGTCTGATTGACCGCCAGGGGTGTAACAAGGTTCATTTTTAAAAGGGCCAATTTCTATTGCAATCTGCACTTTTTGTAAAATAAAAATCGAGGACACATGCTTCACACATAAAGCACTTTAGCTTAGTCTGAATAATGTATAGTCTATAATTTCCTTCTTCCTCTCTTTGCTAATACATCAGTGCAAATATGAGACCCATCTATAATGAATATAAATTGATCAAATGACAAATAAATAGTCCCAAATCTGAAGCAGGAGAGTAGATGCCAGTGGAATCATTGAATTGAATAACATGCTTTTATAAGATAGTGGAAGCCACCCTTCTTGCCTTGGTTTCAGATACTGAGAAGTGTGTGTAGGGGGAAGGAGAAACAATATTTTATAACTGGAGTCATTTAGTGAGTGCTTGCATTATAGTTGACCCCCGAAGATCATTTTGGGATAATGATGTAATTTGTAACAATATGTTATGATCCCTCTTGATATAAATTATTCAAGGTAAGGATTACATTTTATTTCAATTTTTGGGTTGGGGGCAGTGGTTACAGGTAGTTTTAAATAATGCAATAGGTGGCCAAGTGCTTAAGGACTGTTATTTTTGCTGAGCTCAAAAACATGTAATAAAGCATTTTAAAGGAAATTATATAAAATTATATAAAAAATATGTTTGAAGTGCTTTTAAGAAGAAATATATATTGTGTATAGACCTATTAAAAAACACAGTCACATTCTTATTCTGTGGTATTGAGAACAGAAATACAGAGATAAATGACAGCTTCTTAGCATCCTCATTAACTGTAACAGTTTTCTGAAGCATTTTCCATTATTCTTGCAATCGACGTTAGCAGTCTCCACTAATACTGGGGCTGATTTGGCAAGACTGTGCTTGCCACTCCATAGATTCTATCCTTCAGGGTAAACATTGTAAAACAACATAGGTAAAAAGGTACATCGGGCTATGACAACTAATGCAATGTATATAGGACACTTCTGAAATGTCATTAATATAACACAATACTTCTCTCAATGCATAACTCATCATCCTCTAACCTCAAACATGGGCGGTCTAGGAAACGTTGTTAGAATGCATAGTGACACACAGAGCACAGGTTTGTAAAATATACTGTAAGAGAAGAAAGGTGTCTTTTATGGGAAATATATATACTTAAGCCATCATAATAATTCATGTTTTTATTCCTAATGCTTGCTATAATTGTTTTGTTAACAATTAAACGGAGTGAGAGCAAACTGTCTAAAAAAATAAAAATGAGCTTGAATAGTCTATTAACTAAACACCAAGTTGTGGTGACTGGAGAACAGAGTTGCTCAGTGAAGTACAAATAATACAATTTGAGAAATCTAAACTAGATCACCACTAATTCAGATAGGGTGAGAAGTAAAAGTGAATTTAAACTTACAAATTTAAGGCCAAAGTAGCCAAACTGAAAGCCTAACTGACTTATTTAACCACTTAAGGACCAAACTTCTGGAATAAAAGGGAATCATGACATGTCACACATGTCATGTGTCCTTAAGGGGTTAAACAATTTTGACCTTAAATTCAAATCTCACATTGAATTCTCAGAGAATAACCCCGAGATTGTTTCTAAATGAGCTCAAATTGTGAAGTCCAATATCTCCCTGTTCTGTGAGTTGACACCATAACTATTCTGGGTAAAGGAGCAGTTTTATATGGATTATTTTGCTTTAGTGACACAGTTTTGTATCATGGAAAAATTATTGTTTAATGGATTAGGAACAGTATAATTAACTACCTTATAATTTAGCACTCTTCTATTGATGTAGATAATGGAGATATCTTGTTAAAGACAGTGCAGTCTTTACACAGTAACAAATGGTGCTGCAATTAAATTGCAAATGACACCGTGTGAAATACATCTATCTCCATAGCTGATTATTTATTGCTTATTCAGACACCATGTGCTATCTCAGTCTCTAGATATAAAGTCGTGCTTAGAGGTGATATGTCCCAATTAGACACGCTGCATTCCTCTTATCTGAATGAATAAATGTATTTTATATATTCTCTTGATTCTATCTAAAGCAAGGGTGTCCAAAAGGTAGAGCCCCCGATGTTGCAAAACTACAACTCCCATGCTGCTTAGCATTCATTTAGAATACCTTTCAAATGATAAAGCATCATGGAAACTGTAGTTTTAAAACATCTTGGAATCTACCCTTTGGGCATCCCTGAACCCCTTAAAAAATACAGAAACAATCAGCCACTATCTTGGTATTTTGTGTAAAAGCTTTGAGAATGAAATCGAGTCTCTGTGAAGTTGGTAGGGATTATTGTCCAAATCTGGCACGATGGAGAATTGACAAAGGATTTTTCCAGTTCAGCTATTTTTGCAGAAAATCTGCAACTCGTTTGTCAGATCTCCACAATACAAAGCTTAAGAATATTCTCCATATTATTTTTACGTTTTAATATGTAAAGTTCTAAACCGATATATATATATATGTGTGTGTATTTACCAGTGCTATGAACATACTGCATTTCTATATCTGTTTTTATTTCAGGTGGCAATAAATTAAGGAATCAACCATTCCGCCTCAATTGGGCTTGGATTTCTCTGGAAAGACATCATTACACTGTTGATGAAGACTCAAAGTTCCTGGAAGTGACTCTTAGACGCAGAGGGTACCTTGGAGAGACTTCATTTATCAGTAAGTAAATATGACAACTGATTTCTATAAGTTATTCAGTCAAGTCAGCGGTATTTTAATAAAATAACTACATTAATTACAGCATGTTATTGAAGAGTTATATACGTGTTCCACATTGCTTTGTTTTGCTTTGCATATTTGAAATATATTGACACATATTTACATAATTATGCTACTTACATAAGTCAAACACACACCGCGTGATACACAGTTCAATCAAAATACTTGGATTCCCACTGGAGAATGAAGAAATAAGGATGGAGAGGAGAGGGGAATAAGTGAATCCGGTTTCTTTCTTCAGGAAGCCGGCCAGCATGTCTCCCCATCATGCATCAGCTCGACAGCAGATGGTGTCATAGACCAGAGAAAAAGAGAGAGGAAATGGAGGAGCTCTACTTCCGCTGAAGCCACACTTCAAGAGAACGAAGAGCACTTAATCTTTTACCCCTCAAAGCGACTTGCTCAACCCCATATCAAAACCAAGTATTTCATAAACATGGAATTTTTGTGAAATACTTAGATTGACTGTGCTGGGATTTGTAGGGACTACATTGTCTCAGTATTTTTCTCTTCTTAACAAAGCTTGAAAACGGGGCAGTTACCTTTTTTCAAGCTTGTAATTTACCCCAGCCATCTTATTTCTATGGAGGACTTGTGGTCTTGTGGGATCCTTCAAAGACCTCAATGCTGTACTCTCATGCATGGCGCAAGAGTACATCGCTGACTTTGAAAGAGGACCAGCAGAAAGAGGATGGCGGCATCTGTAATGGCCAGATTCAGGTGAGTACATTTTACCGTCTCCTGCCCCCATGGCTACTGGACTCCTGGCGGCGATATCACCATCGGAGATATTTGCAATTTATGACAGACAGTGACAGAGCAGTTTTATTTCACAAAATTAGGCAATCTCAGTGCATTCTAGGTATTAATTATTGTAGATGACATCATCTATTTGAATTGCGGGGTATGAAAATACCATCTACCCATTATGTAGAATTGTTGTGGGAGAAGCATGGACAAATTATTTTTTATATAAGACTGCAAGATTCTATTTTTAAGGTGACTGCAGAATATATAAATCAGTTTTGTGTTCCCTTCCCAGGATTTTTAATATTATGCATACTTAGCTCAACATTTAATAAACATGTATCTGTGCGGTAATTTGCAAGTCTTACCCTGACTTTGCCTTGTATTAACTGTATTGTGCAGCAATTTGCTACAGTTTTAATACAAATTTAAAGGAAAGCAAAAGTATCATCATGAAAAAAGTTCACACATGTTCTAGGTCAGGGGTAGGCAACCTATGCCATATCTTTTCCCGGCACTCAAGGCTGCTGGAACCAAACAGGCTCTGGCCTATCAGGAGTCCCAGTGAAACTTCAGATATCTGCTAATACGAAAAGGTGGTGAAGGACAATCCTCAATTTATGCATTGCAGAACGTAGAGGAAGTGATCTTAGATCACTTCCTCCCAGCACTTGTGAATGGGAATCCTGTTGCAGCTCCTGTGATTGACCTGTACCTGGCCAGCCTGGTCCCCACTGGAGCCCAGGGAAGCCACCCACACTGTTAGATATACACAGAAATGCAGAATAACCCTCCCCTCATACAAATAATACGAACAGCCCACCCACACACATACACACAATCTGCACTAACGCAACACAACTAACAATCCACATGCACACAACCCCACATGCAGTCTCTTACATTCAATACCTGAAGCAGCCCCACACATATGCACACCACCAAACACACTATGTGACATTTTCATCCACACACAATTCCACAAGCAGCCCCCATACACAGCCCACATTCATAGGGACACGAAACCACAAACTACTCATGAACATATACAATATAATAGCTCATATACACACAAATACAACAAAACAAAGCAACTGCAGTATCAGTAACACAAGCAGAATACGGCAACATACACACCTCAAGTTAAACAAATTGCTATGGGACATCACAATCCTATTTTGGCACAGTGCTGCTAAAAGGTTGCCTACCCCTGTTCTGTGTGATTGTCAATGTTTTATTCAATTGTATAAATTCCCCAGTTCCCCTTTAAGGTTCAATATTCCCTATTCTACGGTTTCTAAAACATTGACATTTGTATTAATGGCATTGAATAAAATATATTTGTTTATGGCTTTAATAGCTTTTTTTTTTTAAATCGTTCTAATACACATTTATAACCACAGTTAGACCTAACACTGATCTGCTTCCGCACTTCAGAGAATTACAAGTTCATTAGAGTATCATATTTTTCCATTAGCAGGTAAAAGAACAAAACTTGACAAGTCTTTTTTATCCTCTTACAAGAGTGGTAAAGTGTTTTATTGTCTCCAGTGTCAAGGTCCCGTAAGTTCACATAATCAGTTTTAGTTTTCCTAACAGTGAACTGCAATTCAATACTAAAAGGAAATCCACAATAATGTGTAGATTTCCTGATGACATCCAGTAATGTGTTTGGGATCTTTGTAGCAGCTTACTTTTGCCCACTTTATTAGGTGCATATTTTCATACTGGATACTTTGAGCAGGATATTGATCAGGATATAGTTCCATCAAAATGACATTGAATTCAGTTTACTTCTACACAGTCCACAGCTTTACATGCAAATATAGGGCTTTAATATAAATATATAAGTTAATATTATTTAGCAGGGATTTAAATCCCTAATGAATGATTCCAGCACATTGTTGAATAAATATTAGTAGAATTATGAAATTAGCTACGTGTCCCTAAAAAAGTATACATTGAGAAAAATACAACACCTTACTAGTTTTTGGGATGGTACAGTGACCTGATTTCCCTCATGGAAATTATCATAATATATCTATAAAACAGACAAATGAAACCAACTTAATGTTTCATTTTTTTTGTAAATGAGTTACTTAGTTCTGCATATGATACTCTCCAAAATAAAAGGACCACCCTACTCCATACACTAGTTGCATAGTTAATTTAAAAGGACACTCTAGGCACCCAGACCACTTCATCTCATCAAAGTGGTCTGAGGACAGTGTCCCTGTCCCCTTTACTATGCAATGATTCACACAGAGTTTAACTCTGTGAAATGATGCTGGATATCCTCGCACTTTGCGTCAGGACATCCAATATCTTACAAATCCCCCTAAATTCAATCAATGCTTTCCTGGGGGAGGCCTTATACCTGTGCACAGAGAAGTCACAGGAGAAGGAGGAGGAAAGTGAAAGATGGGGTTTTTAACCCTTTCATGGCAGTGGTAGGCACAGAGGCACGGGGGCACTATAGTGTCACCAAATCATATTTGTTGTTTGTTTATATAATTTATTTCTCCTTTGCTGTGGTTTACCATTTTATTATTAAATTGTTTTTCATTTTTTCAATTTATTTTAAGGTATTACCACAAAAGATGGCACGGCTCTCAAAGAAAAAGATTTTAAAGGGAAAGCACAGAAACAGGTTCAGTTCAATCCTGGGCAGACAACAGCAACATGGAAAGTGAGAATTATCGCAGACAATGAATACGAAAAATCAGAAACTTTTCAAATACTCTTATCTGAGCCGGTCATGGCTGCGCTAGAGTACCCTAGAGAAGCCACTGTTGATATTGTTGACCCTGGTGATGGTATGTATTTGTCATTATTAGAACATTTTTGAAAGGGAACAAGACATTAAACAACAATAATGATTTAATAAAATATGAATTCTGCATGCATTCACAACATATATATTACCTCTTTATCTCAGCCTCATGCATGAAGGCAGAATAAAACTAAAGATAAAAGTATTTTTAAGAAAAAGCAACACTAGAACAAGGGCTAGTAATTTCACATTGGAGGGTAAGAGGTTGAAGGGCAATGTGCAATGGTAGCAGCAGCAATAGAACATCGGAGATCGGGCTGTGGGCTCCTCTGAGGGTCCCTGGTTTTAATTATACTACTTGAAAACATTTTGAGGAAATGACATAATGCATCTATGGTGCCTAGACTACCCATTTCAATTTACACCAGAAAAAAGCAAAGTGTGGTTGATCCATCAAATAGGCTTCAAGTGGAGCTGGTGGAGACAAAGATTGTGAGGATTTGTAAAAAAAAAAAAAAAAATGCCTGTGAAATACACTAGGATATCCAAAAAATGAATACATTTTGCACTTCTCATTTTGGCTAGCTTGTGGGGCTTTTGGTTTTTATCCATCATCAAAGCCTGTGTTTCTATCAAAAATATCACAACGTTTCTTCTGAAACAACATACTTTAAGAGTTGTGTATAAATATTGAAATATTTTTGTGTATGTCTTACACAGAATCCACTGTATACATACCACAAGCAGAATATAAAATTGAGGAAGACATTGGTGAGTTATTAGTCCCAATTAAAAGATCAGGGGACCTCAGTGAAGAACTTATGGTTGTTTGCTCAACACATCAAGGTAAGCCTACAAAGCATGCCATTGTTATTTTTTAATATCACATTTACTGATTTCATTATGTATTGTATTTGAAACACAAATAGGTGCAATAAACTCTAGCATTCTGCAAAATTTGACATGAGTTCTCAACACACTTGCTAACAATGGCACTTTAAATCATACTGGTAGTTAAGGGTCATATTTCTCTACCACAAATAAATATATTTTAAATATATATATATATATATATATATATATGTATAAAAAAATTTGAGGTCCTTTTTGACCTCATTAAAACTGGGTAGTGCCCCAAGGTGAGTCCCATGCCTTCCTTGCATCTTATAAAATGTCATTTGGATGGTAATATATAAGTATATAAGGTATGTACCTTTTTCACATATTTTCTGAAATGGGAAACTATGAAAGGCTTAGAGCTTCAGCAGACTTTTTCAGCCTATCACCAGTACCCAGTACTAGGCTTCCTTACTGAAGCCTCAGACTTGGTTGGAAGACGGGTGACAAGACTGTTCACCATTTGTGAACAGTTTAATCCAGTGTTGGCACTCTTCACCTCCAAGCACGATATCAAGTTTGTCACAATAAAGTTTTATAGTATCCAGAGTGTCCCTTTATGTCATTGCTGAATGTCTGGTGACATTATCATATAATTTTTAGATTGTCACCATATTTTTTCCTGATAAGCCCTTAAGGACCACATTTTATACTTTCTGTTATGACAACCTGGCCCATAAAGGTTTTATGCCAGAATGGAATGTCTTGTTTATTTAGCTTCAAAGAACCAATCAACTATAGATGATGTTGAAAAAGTTGGTGCAAAATGGAATGCATTACAACTTTATTCTAAAAGAAACATTCTAAATGTTATAGGCTGCACACGCTGAGAGAGGCATAGCCTAGCTCTCACAGCTTATCAAGGTCGTTGATATCTGCATGAATTTATACTACATTAAACATCCGTATTATGGCGGCTGTAGCAAGGGATGAGGGCTGGGTATTTGTCAAAGAATGCAATATAATCCAGAAATGCTGCACCCAAAAACTGCTTGCACTATAACAGCAAGGCCTAGTAGTTATGGAGCATCTAGTTACCCTTTAAAGGACAGATTGTATATCAATATAGAACGTCATTAATTGGCTTCAAACATGCAAATAATTTAAAAATTAAAATAAAATTAAACTTTTGTTTTACTTTTTGAACAAATATTTTTCTGGTTTGATAATTACATTCTAGGCAGGTGAAGGAACCGTTTTGGGAATGGGTCACATGTTGTGGGGAAATGGCAATCCTTGTTTTGGTTTAAGTTTCATGGTTGGTGATTCTGCAGCTGTTGACCAAGATAAAAGCATTGTAAAGTGTGCTCCCTCTCAGAAGAGATTAGGATAAGTTGCTATTATAGACTTTTGCAATAGCAATTTTCCCAAGGACTTCGAAAAGAGCATTGTTAATGACTTTCATTTCGTTTGTGCCTCCATTGTTCATAATCTTTAATAACAGCTGTCTACAGGAAAGAATCCAATAACAGGAAAGATTAGATCTCTCATTTAAACTCTTATACAAAGCAGTCGGTGTATGTTAGAATACCCTTATTCCTTCTTTTAAAATATACAATAAACCAAATGGTCTATAGTTTACATCTTACTAGGCTTGGTACAGGTTAATAAGCTGGAGCTATGTCTCATTTGGGTTTAAGGAAAATCTGAATTTCTTGTACATCTCACGTGTCCACTTAACACTTTCCTCATTTAATTCCTATATACCTGCTTCTCACCTCACCTCACCTGCTTTTTTTTGATATTATGGATATTAATGTCAATACTTAATAGGAACAAATTTAGCCAGATTTTAGATTTTCTCCTTAACAATTAAACAAAGAAGAAAAAACAGAAAATTATTCTAAGTGTGGTTTCGATTTAACCACTGTCCGTCACAAATAGGTTTGGCACTTCAGTTCTTTGGCAGCAGGTAATTGTATTGAATATAGCCTTCAGACAGAAAACTGGTTCTTCAACATGTACGTCAGGGGTACCTAAAAAGTAGATCCCCAGATGTTTTAAAGCTACAGCTTCCATGATGTTTTGTCATTCTAAAGGCATGCTCTACAACATTTGGGGATCTACCTTTTTGGGCATCCTTGATGAATGCTCTTCATACAAAGGAAAATAAATTATACCAGCATTAAATATTACATGGAAAAAGTACAGCCTAACTCTCATTACAATGGCTGCACAGGTTGAATAACTTTACAGTAGGCTCATTTCTTCATGAATGTAAGCAGAGTTATGAAGAGCTAATTATATTACTGTGTAACTGTTAGTGAGATCTTACTATAACTAACTTTAAGCATGATATTAGGCCATGACTCTGCAAATGAGAATGAAGGTGTATAATGGGTTTGACCTCTCTTCTTTCAGATTTTATAGAGAAATTAGACTTGTTATAAGATAAAGCATTTTGCTTGTTTTTTTTTCTTAGTTTGTAATTGAACTATTCTGTTAATAATATTAATTAAAAAATACATTTGTATTTTTTTTTTTTAAATCACATTGATATATTCCTGAAATTATTCTACATGAATCCATGGAAATGCATTTCTGCTTGTTTATATATTGTTCTGCATCTAAAAATGTATTATCACATGTCTGATAATACAAAACGTCCCTAAACAATATATCAAGCGCAACTCTTTTATTTTAGCACTTTACGAAAAATACTAAAAAAGTTGTTACTTAATCTAACTGCATAATCTAACTCTGATCCTACCCTACATCCCCATTCAGATGAAAAGAGAACATGGCAGTTTTCTTTATGTCTTTTCTAGAATCTGCGTTTTAAAGTATTCAGTTCCATTCTATCTCCCGTGCATGTTCACTAAACTTTAAAGGTCAGACGAGTTTTAGAAGTCAAAGGACATTGTCCTTCTTTTCAAGGTTTCCCGGATTCCCCAGGATTATATATTTTATTTTAATCCTCTGTTGTGGTTTGCAGGGCATCTTTAAAAGCCAGAGTGAATTTCTGGGGGAACTCAATGGAACTGAGCTTTAAAGCAATTTTAGAAAATCGTATCTATTTTTGTCATACTTGAAATACAAAATTCTGACTGGTAAAAAAAAAAAAAAAAAATGTGCAGTAAAAATAAATAAAATAAATAAAAAAAATACATAGCTACTCTAATAGTTTTTAAATATTTTCTGTAATTTTCAGTCATTTGGTCTCCATTATTTTTTGTCTAATGTGACACTGGCTGACAAGCATTGAGTTTATTTAGATGAACTGTAGTATTTGCAGTATTGGTCCCCACCTGGTTAAGAAGAAGAAAACTTGACATTTGTTTTATTTTATGTTTGTTTTCCTACTAGCAGCTCAATGCTCCAGCATTATGTTTTTACAACACTCTTGAGATAGCTTAGATTTTAGCGGCCACCTTGTTGGTTGCTGGCAGTTTCATATAGCCTTTAAATAATGATTCTATGATAGGTAAAGTTTTTCATCTAAAAAAGTATCCTGTTGTGCTAGCAATAAGCATTCTCTTAAATAAACCTTATACTGCCGTGCATTATTTCAGTAAAAGAGTGTGTTCTTGAATTTTCTTACTAGCTGTAGCTAAGAGCATGTAAATTTGGTATAAGAGATTGGAAGTAGGAACTATAAGGCTATTTTATTCCCATGATGTAAACACTTTGCAAGTAATGCAGAGGCAGTAATATGAGTACAGATCTTGTTAAAGAGGAGCCTGCTATGAACACCTGAATATTGGCCATCTGAGGATACTACTTCTCTCTCTACGCTACCACTTGTGACCTTGGTAGATTTCTCTATGCACAATAAAAACTCTGAATTGTTGTCTTCTAATAACTTTATGTGTTTTCTATATTAATGTTCTATGTAATTTTCTCAAATCTGTTATTATAGGTGAATTTTTTATTTTTTTAATGTGTCATGTAGGTTCTGCCACTGGAACAGTTCCATCGTCAGTTTTGTCCTATTCTGACTACATTACCCGTACAGATGATCCGACCAGCATAATTCGTTTCGACAAAGATGAGACTGAAAAAAATTGCCGTGTAATCATCATAGATGACTCGCTCTATGAGGAAGATGAGATATTCAATGTCACACTAAGCATGCCCATGGGTGGAAAAGTAGGATCTGAATTCTCCACTGCTAAAGTGGTTATTCTGGCCGACACTGATGATGGTAAGAAATCGCCTATTATTGAATAGCAGGTCTCACGTTGTTTGGATAGAGAAGACGTTATTTATAGAACAGTTTTGCAGAGTTTTAAAATTGGGAAGTTATCATAGAAACGTGAATGTTAATGAGACCATGTTAAATAAATAAGAAGCCATTGCCCTTACGTATAATAAATTATTAATTTTACTTGTTACTTGATTTACTTTGCATTATAGTATTGTATTATACCCAGGATTGTATAAAATGTGCTGTTTTACATCTTTCCAACTCATTGTACACCCAAGTGTTTAGGAGTTAAGGTTTCTGTTAATGCAGCACTAGCCACACCTCCCCTGACTGTGACTGACACAGCCTGCATTTGAAAAAAAAAATGGTTTAATTCTCAATCAGATGTTAACTTGATTAGAAGTTTATCTCCTGCTCTGTAAATTGAACTAAAATCCCACACAGAAAGCTCATGCAAGGTATAGCAAACTATTAACAGAGCAGGAGATAAGAAATCCAAATTAAACAGACAATACAATAAAGGATGTGTAAACATTAGATCTCACTTTACAGGAATTATTTAGGAAGGCTTTGAAAGTAACATGCAGAGAGGTGTGGCTAGGGCAGAATGAACAAAGTGATTTAAGTTCTAAATGGCAGAGAAATAATCAATGAGACTCAGGACCAGCGCTACCAATAGTCGAATAAGACATTCGCCTAGGGCGCTGGCCTGTTGGGGGCACCCACCAAGAGGTTTCCTGGTGGGCTGCCCTGGCTGCTGCTGTGCTGGATGAGCAGCTCCTTAGTTATCCCCAGCACAGCCATTTATCTGCTGGGCTCCTTACCTCACCTCCCGGGAAGAGCACTCTGCTTGCTGCAGGCAGGGGTAGCCGGAACATCACTTGTTATCCCAGCTGCCCCCTGCCTGTGAACACTGGAAACACTCTGCAGGAAGTAAGGAGCAGTCTGTGCTCAGAGTGCAAGGTTCTCCTGCTCCCCCAGCAGAAACAGGAACACTTCTTGCAGACTGGACCCCTCTCCTCCATTCACATCACTTAGGACCATTTGGAGGTTAGGAGAAATTATTATTTTACATAATTGTAAATTGGTGTGTCTGTGTGTACTGAATTGCTATGTGTGTAAATAAAGTGTGACTTTAGGTAAAGTGGTGTGAGTTTGTGCTTGAGTGGCAGTATGTGTGTTAGTAACTGTGTAACTGACACTGTGTATGACAATGAGAATGTGTGTGTGTGTGTGTGTGTGTGTGCTAGTGAGTGTGTAAGTGACACTGTGTATGTCAGTGAGAGTGAGTGTGTAGATGACACTGTATGTGAGTGAGAGTGTGTGTTAGTGAGTGTGTTTAAATGACACTGTGTATGTCAGTGAGAGTGTGTGTGTTAGTGAGTGTGTAGGTGACTATGAGTAAGAGTGTGTGTGTTAGTGACACTGTGTATGTGAGTGAGAGTATGTGTGTTAGTGAGAGTGTGTAAGTGACACTGTGTATGTGATTGAGAGTGTGTGTGGTAGTGGAAGTGTGTTAGTGACACTGTTTATGTCAGTGAGAGTGTGTGTTTTAGTGAAAGTGTGTAAGTGACTCTGTGTATGTCTGTGAGAGTGTATGTGTAAGTGAAAGTGTGTAAGTCACACGGTGTATGTCAGTGAGAGTGTGTGTGTGTGTGTTAGTGAGAGTGTGTAAGTGACACTGTGTATGTCAGTGATAAGGTGTGTGTGTGTTAGTGAGAATGTGTAAGTAATACTGTGTATGTCAGTGAGTGTGTGCTAGTTAGTGCGTAAGTGACACTATGTGTATACATCAGTGAGAGTGTAAGTGTTAGTGAGAATGTGTAAGTGATACTGTGTATGTCAGTGAGTGTGTGCTAGTTAGTGCGTAAGTGACACTGTGTGTATACGTCAGTATACGAGAGTGTGACAGTATGTGCATGTCAACGAGAATGTGTGTGCTAGTGTGTGTGTTACCATGTAAAGAGATTCTTATATATTAAAGTATATTTATAATATATATTAATATAATTCTATATTAAAATGAAAACAATTCTACTTAAACTTCACATGAATTGAATCCTACCATTATTATAAAGTAAATCTCACCAAATGCATTGATGTATGTACTAGGCAGTATAAGTCTATGGATATAAATATTAAGCAGTATGTGTGTATGGATATATGTATTGGGCAGTATGTGTCTATTGATGTATGCATTAGGCAGTATGTGTGTATGCATGTATGTATTGGGCACTATGAGTGTATGTATTAGACAGTGTGTGTATGTATGGGGAAGTGTGTGTGTATCTTCACTGCAATTCAGAATTTAGTCAATAAACCTCTGAGAGAATGTACTTGCATTTATGAGGGGGCGTCAAAATGCATTGTTGCCTAGGACGGCAAGAATCATTGCACCGGCCCTGATGAGACTGCAAGGGCATGATCTGTATGACAAAAGTGCTTGATTAAGCTAAAGTTGTTTTGGTGTATGTGTGTGTGAGTGTTTGATGTGTATGAATATATTTGTGTGCGTGTATTTGTGTGAAATGTTTGATGTGCTTGGATGCATATTTTTTATATTTTATTTTATTATTTTTGTTTAGTGTTTAAAGGAGTGTTCCTTTAAAGAGAATGTGTGAATGTATAAAAAACGTGTGCCTTGTTACCTCTCCTCTCTCCTACTTTGAGCTCAAGTCTCGCCATTCTGAGTAAATAAATCTGTTATTACAATTATTGCTGAGTTGAAGAGTGCATAGTTTCTACACATATTTTATGAAAGGGACAGTATGTTCACCATGCGTATAGGTATTGTATTACCAACTGAACTCAATTATTAACAGCCAAGCTACAAATAAAGAATTTATGTGTATTCAAATATTGTAATGGTTTAAACAAAGAATATTTTCTTCTACGTTTTAGTAATACTTAATCAATTACCATGACCATGATCTGAACAATAAGAAGTCTTAATTCATATAGTTGATCACATTTTTATTTTGAAAGGAAGGTACAGGATCCTATGCCAAATACCAGAAAGTGCATTAATCACAAATAACATGTTTTTAAATATCAACTTGTAAAAGTTAATTGAGTGTTCACTGTATTGTTTTGTTAGGGAGACTATTTTGTAAATGTATAAAAAAATATTATTTAAATTGTATATTTTAAATGAAGAGAGATCAAACAAATTGAAAAGATCTGATTTTAGGAAATAGCTGACACACGGAAGCAGATTAAAGCTCTGCTGTCATATTTAACTTGCTTTGAGAACAGGAAGAGGACAAAAAGATTTAGGATTACCATTCAAATAAAAGACTGATTTCTCTCTGAGAAACCTGAAGAACTAATGTTATGTTTCATTGGTGAAATGTAAAATCCACTTAGCAGGACAGGAACTCCTTCAGATGGAATCAGCTTCCCATGGCAAGCTCAGGGCTCAAGTCTTAATGTCATTACAGAACTGGAAATAAGATCATGCTGTTATTATGTGATATTGTCTTTCCCAACTTTGAATTTCCATCAGATTATTCATTTATATCAGGCTGGATTAATATAAAACAAAGGCATTTTCTCTAACAAGCCTAGTCAGCTCTCCATCGGGGAATGTTAAGGGGCCTGGCCAAGCAGGAGGGCTCACAGGCCAATAGAAGAGAAACACCTTGAGACCTGCATTGTTTGTTTTAGGGAGTGGAGCTCAGGATTTCTGATGAATGAGGGGGGCAGTGGCAGTCTGGCACGGGGGGCAAGGAACCATAAAGGACTGCCAATCATAACTGCAGATTGCCATTAAGCATAGATAAGATAATTTGTTCCATCCATGTTGTGCTGATGAAAATAATGTCAACAAAGTATCACAACATTGTTCTATAATATGTTTAATATAAATACTGATTTCTTCCTTATGTCTTAAGAGTGCTAAGTCTACTTTACTACATGAAATTTATTAACAGAGAGCATTTGCAAGTCTTCTGAACGTGAAATTTATTGTATAACCTCTGATACGCATATAAGATCATTGATCATACTACCTGTTTGCATAAATTGTTTTACATTTTTAATTTTTCTTCTTTTTTTCATAAAAAAATTATCAAATTAGAAGTATATTGCTTATAGTTAGTAGACTTGTGCACTGCAAAAAAATTAGTTTTGGTCAAATTTTTTTTCCCCAAAATTAATTTTTTTTTCGGTATGACCAAATTTTTGCCATGTAATGGTTTGGCCTGGCAGAATTTCACTAATGAACATATGATATGGAAAACGAATCTGGCGAATGTGTTTTTTATTTTACAGTACACTAATAGGAGTATATTCCCATCATTTGGTTCACAGATCAAGTGAGAAATAGTAACCAATAGAAGGGAAAAGAGGAGGAACAGTTAAAAAAAGAAATCAATATTTATTCTGCTTTTCCTTTTTTCCCTGTCTTGGTAACCTCTCACTTTGGTTTTATGGTTTGTCTGAACATTTCCCTGAATCTTTTTTTCCATGGACAATATTCGGTAAGAATGAACTGTGACATGAACAAGCGTCCCACATCCTGAAACAAATGTCAGTTTTGCGGAATATGATTTGGCAGAACAAGCCTTTCCTGATGTGCAAAAGTCTAGTGTTTTTTGTTGTTTGCTTATTAAGTGTGTACTAAGTGCAGTTAACTGCCAATGTAAGCTATCTTAGTACCCTCAGTAAACATGTTCAAAAAGAAACACAGACATGTAGAACAATTTTGTTGAGTTATGTTGATCCAATGCTTTTCTTTTTTTTTTACCCTTTTTTGTGTAAGTTAGCCAGAGTGTTTTGATTTGAATTTGAATGTTAATAAGATACTATAGGCACCCAGACAACTTAATCTCTACAGTGAGGGCAGGAATGGTAGTGTTTACATTGCAGGCTTTAAATGTCTCTAGTGGCTGTCACTCTGTCATCCACTAGAGTCACTTCCAAGGAAATGGTCTCATAGACACAATCTGATTGGTGCAACTCAGAAATTTTCCGCACATGCTCACTAGCCTCCCAATGCTTTCCTATGGGAAATCATAGGATTGGCTGTGATCACTGATCTTGATGATCCCAGTCAAGGAGGCAGGCCTTCCTCACAGAGACCAGAGTAGCAAGGGCTGAAAGGTAAGTAAAACTCACACTTCAAGCACTCATACGGTGGGAGGAAGAGGGGGGGACATTAATACAGTTAAATAAAAACTATAGCATTATTAATACATGTTCCTTTAAGATTTTTTGCCTAATTGAGACATTTTGTGAATTGGGAGCTACTGGTGCTCTCAGCATATTAGCATCTCCCAATTTTAGCCTTCCTGATTGAAGCCTCGGACTGTGGTGGAAATCGCTTGGCAGAGGTATCAGATAGGGAATTAAAGACATAAAGACATTGGGGTTAAACCGTTTGTACATGAGCTAATCCCTTGAGCTAAGCTGATGTCTGGGGATCACCTTATTAACAACTTAATTCCGATTAAGTTACTATTGTCCAGGAGTTATTATATAAATATGTTCATACATCAAAACAATATCAAAATATTACAAAATTAAAATAGCATTCATGCAATTAACATGTATTCCTGACCCTGTAGTGTTAAAACCACCATCTAGCCCTCCTGCCCCCTCCTCCCACTTGCCTCCTTAAATATAGTAAAATCTTACTTGTATTAAGATCTGCAGCTGCTGGCTCTACCCCTGTCTGCCTTTGACCTGCCTGCTGTCTGCTGACATCATCAGAAGTGGTGGTCTGAGCCAATCACAACAATGCTTCCCCACAGGATTGGCTAAGACTGTCAAGGAGGCAGATCAGGGGCAGAACCAGCACAAGTCAAACAAAGCCCTGGCCAATCAGCATCTCCTCATAGAGATGAATTGAATCAATGCATCTCTATGAGGAAACTTCAGTATCTGCATGCAGATGGTGGAGACACTGAATGACTGTGCTGCTCACTGTGTAGCGCTGGCCCAGAGAGCACCTCTTAGCAGCTATCTGAGGAGTGGCCAGTGAAGTTATCACTAGGCTGTAATGTAAACACTGTTTTTTCGTCCGGGAAGGGAATGCTTATACTCGCCAGAACAAATGCAATAAGCTGTTCTGGTGACTATAGTGTCCCTTTAAATAATTCTAAAAGTTAGCCTAAAATCTTTTGAAAAGCATATCCAACAATACTAAATCGAAGCCTAAGTCAGCTTATCGATAACTTATTTTAACATATATAAAACTAACTTAGCTTTCGGTTGAAAAAGCTTCATTATCCAGTTTTTATTTCTAGCACACTTGTCTTCTGATTCAGAGCACTGCTACTTTCAGAAACATAAGAAAATATCAATTCATACTGTGCAATAAGATTACAGTAAACCTAATGTTTGTTAAAGTCCAGGTTTATAGAAGATAATCATAGCCCACTGCTTAACACAAGGGATGCCAAGTATAATAATATTGTAAATATATCCCCAGTCTTCAAATACCAGATGCTAAGAAATCAATGATGTGTACTAAGTCCTTAGTATACATATTTTTTCTTTAAATATTTTACAGATTATTGTCATTTTGTATATTAACAATTAGTGAGCAGAATGTATTTGCAGTCAGAAATCTGATAGACTTCTATTTCACACCCGGGAATAAATTAGTAATTACAATAATTTTTGAAGGACATTGTTCATAAGCCCATTACATGTTAAATATCCGAAGAGCATTGCATTTCACAGAACAAAGTTAAAATACTTTTCTTTTTATTTTGGCACGTTTACATTTTGTATTGTATGTCTTGACAGAATAGAATTTTCAGAGATTCTGTTAAGTTTGGAATTAAATGCAATAATGTGGTTATTTTATGTCATTTAGTTTACAGATAGCAGACATTGCATAAAAGAGAGTTAGATATAAAAGTAAAAAGCTCAATGTGTGTGTCTTTGTAAGTACATTTTCGATATAAAGTCCAACAGATGAAGCAATAAAAGCAGTCATTGTATATTAATGGAACTTTTTCTTTGGTGAGTAGGGTGGAACCCCTTTGCCTTGTGTTTTTTTTCTTGCTAATTATAGCATATAGCAAAGAATATCTTTTTTGAATGACAGGTTGTAGGATATTTTTCCTCGTTTATATACTATTAGTTTTACATGGCAAAACATGTAATATCTAGAAAAAAAGAAGAAAACTACAAAATAGTTAAGTACTTTTAAAATTTAGGCTGGATCTTCAGAAAAACTAGAAAAGTGCTGTTATCTTGAAGATGGGACTTTGCTTTTCACAGAACGTAGTATTGTAGACAGTTTGTTTATTCAATATAAGTTGTATGTGACACTTAACTTTAAATGATCCCCACTGTAACTGTTTACTAAGCAGCAATCTGCCCATCATGTCCTCACTGTATGAATAGGCCAGACTCTGGCACTCGATTTGAAATGAATCCGTTTTAGTTAATTTGGTTACAGGTTTATTCTAAATGTAGTTATTCTGATAAAATGTTTATTGATTCTGGATCATCAGGGTCTCTGCATGCAAATAACCCTATCAATTCAGTGGTAAAAACCTCTTGGCGTGAAGCTATCTTAAAACAGTATGGTGGTTGTGCATACCCTGCAGTATCAAAATATATATTATACACATATTTTCAAGAAGAGTTCAGAATACATAAGCTTCGTCTTTTAAAAAATTGTCAATATTTTTTCTCACAGAACCAGCTTTCTATTTTGCTGATAGCAATTATAATGTCGATGAAAGTGCTGGATATGTAGAAGTTCGCATCTGGAGAACTGGAACTGATCTTTCCAAAGCAGCCACAGTCACAGTACAGTCCAAAAAAGCAGAACCACTGTCTGCTGAAGGTAGGTTAGCAAATTCTCCATTACAGAGGCAAGAAACAAATATGCTGATATTAATTAAAATATTTTATTATTTTTTTCCATATATTGCACAATGTAAATGTATTGCACATGTTTTTTAAATTAAAATAAATAGACAATTACATTATTTTTATTGTGTACTGCTGTGGTCTGTGGATGTGGGTTGACCTATACTGAACACCAAGACCTTGATTTAAAATTGTTGGATAAGCTTTTTTAAATTATTTAATACTTTTGGAAATACTTTTAATAAGATTTTTTCAAAATATTAGAATTTAAAAATATATATCATATCTAAAATTAAATCAATATACCAAAAATAATCACTAAATGAAAATATTTTTCATAATATTAAATAATTTTAAAAGTTTATCTAAAAATATTAAATCATTTGAAAAGCTTATGCAAAAATATTAAATTGAGGCCTAATACCAGGAGTTTTCGTAAAAAAGAAAAAAAAATAGAATTACCTTATTATTATCAAACATGAGAAACAATAAACAAGATTTTTTTTAAAAAGGGGGAAAATGGATATAGCAGATTCAGTTCAAACTTAGATAATCTGAGATCTTACATTTTGGATTCCACTGTGAATATGTAGCCTGAGACAAGGGTTCCTAGCTTAGATAACAATGTTAATGCTGAAAAAGATATAATTTATTTTTACCTGTGATATAACAATCATGTATGCCAATGGACCATAATAAAATGAGAATTAGAGAATTTGTTACACATACTTTATGATATTTTAAGAAACAATTAACACGCGGTTTAAAAATTATATTAAGTGAACATGTTTTAAAAAGGATATGTAGTTAGCTTAAAGTCAAATTATTTTACTTTATAATAATACGTAAAAAGGTCCAAAAGCAACATCATGCCCACAAAATACTTTGGATTATGTCAGCCGCACCTCGGTGGATTTTTTTTGTGGTATAGCTTCCAATTAAATTCAGTTTTCCATTTAGCTTGTGCTCAAAATTCTTTGACATATATGTATATAATGTTTTATCATCTTTTCTTTTTTTATTTCTCTAGCTGGGACAGATTATGTGGGCATTAGCAGAAATCTGGACTTTGCTCCTGGAGTGAACATGCAGAGTTTTAGAGTGACAATTCTAGATGACTTGGGTCAACCTGCTTTGGAGGGCCTTGAAAATTTTGAATTGGTTCTTCGGATGCCCATGAATGCAGTTTTAGGGGAGCCTAGCAAAACAACTGTCACTATCAATGACACTGTGTCTGACTGTAAGTACCTTGCCAGTTCCTTTATAATTCTGACATGGTTAACATTAACAATTTCTATGCTATTAGCTAGATTTAAAAGTTGGTCACCAATAGAAGCTTCTCCAACTGCTTTTCAATCTAACCTGCTTCTAACACAATCACTATGGTAGTGGGGTTCAGAATATTGTCTATGCTATATTGGACAAGTAATGGTGCCATGGCATGAAAAGGAGCTTATGCCAAAATATCCCACAGTGTCTCCCTCAGGAAAAAAATATAATCAACAATATAATTGTAATTTGACATTTTTTGTATATTAAATCAGCCATCTCATAATGTTTTGGTCCTTAATCTATGAGTTTTTAAATAAATGTCAACAATTTAAATAAATAATTTTTCTTTGTAGTACCTAAGGTCCAGTTCAAAGAGTCTACGTATATTGTGAAGGAAAAAGATGGTCGAGTATCTGCTGCCATATATAGGAGTGGTGATGTCAACCACAGGTCCACAGTTCGGTGCTATACACGCCAAGGCTCTGCTCAAGTTACAATAGATTATGAAGAAAGGCCAAATACCGATGACTCTCTTGTGGTTTTTATGCCAGGTATTTTAAAAGGATGATATAAGTAAAATATATATATATTTATATATATATATATTGCTACCCATTCAGTCTTACAATATGTTTTGTGATTTGCTGGATTCCTGTTTTGTCTACTGCAATCCAATTCATGCTCAGTAAAAATGCACAGTTTTATTGATTGACATCTGAGGTTTTGATGATTTTCCGTGAAATGTAAGTAGTTCATGAACATATTTAACATTGTTATTCTAATGGTGCAGCAAGGCACTTAGAGATGTTTTTATAGTAACCTTGCAATGTCTACACACACGTTTTTGTTGCTAATATTATCATCTACTCCCTTTGGTGGAAAATGTTTGACAACATTAAACGTAAAAGCACTTACACTTATTTATCAATGATTCATATCTACATTGGCTAAAAACAATTGAGCCTGATTCACGGTGTCGTAATCTTTCGTAAGTTGTGTGTGTTACATCGACATATTTTAAAGGCTACTTAAAAATAGAAAACAAAATTCTATATGATATGTAGATTATCTATAAAATGTAAAAGAATTTGAATGAAGTAGTTAACCTTAATGGGAATGTCTAGGTAATAGGTCCTTACTAGTTTTTAAACAGTTGTTCTTTAACTCCATAAAATCACACATTATCTTCACTACAGATCTTGCTTTCTTCAGTTAACTGGATCCATCCCCTTGATCTATCCAGTGACCAATCAAATGCTTCTCAAAGAGAGGCATTGTGGACACAGGAAGCATAATATAATATGTTATGAACACTTACTCAAATAACATACTCCAAACACATTTGGAAACTATAAAAAAAGCATACTTAAACATAGATATTTGTTAAAAATAATAATAATAATAATATATATATATTTAACACTATACTGGTGTAAAAGTGATTTCTTCTTTGGAAATGTCTGCAGCCTTTGAAGAGTTGGTTAGTGAAATATTCTTCTTATGAAATATGTATCTTACACCGGAGGCTGCTGGCATAGGGAGATTTGTTTTGTTTTTTTTTCTTTTGATGGCATTAACAGGCAATTATAGATAAGAAATACTTTATCGAGAGAGAGAACAGAGTTTGAGTCACTCTGCGGTCCTGGAATAGAGAAAAAACGTTACCTGTCCAGTATATATAGTTTAATTCATAAGGGAGCTATGGAGAAGACTGTCCCTTCATTCCAATTTAAGTGGATGAAAGGTTTGAACATCCAAATGACCAGCAATGATTGGTCATTTGTGTTCAAAATGCGGATGAAAGACCAGGTGAGCACTCCTAGGAAAATTATATTTTTTAAAAGAGTCACTAGATGGTACAATACTCCAGATCGACTTAAAAAATACGGTGCACAGGCTTCGGATGGCTGTTGGAGATGTGGCGAGAGGGGGCGAATATGGAACATATATGGTGGGCGTGCAAACTTATTAGGAGCTACTGGTTACAGGTACTGAGTGTCATTTATAAAATTTTACCAATGCCTGATCAATTATCTCCATCCAAGATTCTATTGGGATGGCCAGCTTCCATTAAGGAGAATAACAAACAGATATTGCTGAGTTTCTTATTGAATGAGGCAAATGCTTTGATCCCGTTGTATTGGCTTAAATCTAGTATTACGGCTAAAGAACAATGGATTTTTAGAGTGAAAGCTTTGAGAGAACTTGAAGAAGTCCATTGGGCCATTCAGGGGAAGTGAGATCATTATGATAGGATATGGAACACTGGCGAGCGTATTAAGCAGAAACATCATAGCAAGAGTACGTTAAGACATACTGAGGATGAGTTAATAGACCACTAAGGTTAGAAGTATTGGCAGAACACCCCTTTTTATTTTTTTATTTTCTTTCTTTCTTCTCTTCTCTTCCCCTTCTCTCTTGGAATGTTTTAAGCATATGATGATATGGGACTTTGATAATGCTATTTGATAATGGCGTAAAGTAGTCCCAATATCTGACGCAAAAATAAAGAAGAAAAAGAGATAAAAAATAAATACTTTTTCCTCTTACTCCACCCTGGAAAATAAACATTCCTTCGATAATGAACATTCCAGGGCTCAGAAGGATACTTCTTTTCAGGAAGTATGCAGAAAGGCTGTGTGATTCAGGAGGTGTGGATAGGGCTATAACAAGAAAGTAATTTTGCTCCTAACTGACAGAGAAGTGAGCAGTGTGACTACAGAAACATTATCTAGACACAAAAACACTTTATTAAACTGAGATGGTCTTGGTACTAGCAATTTTAAAAACTGTAACTTGAAAAAAAATACAAGCAAGGAATATGATGTATCTATATTATTTAGATTGTGAAAAGTTAGCAGTATGTGAGTATTCTTCAATGCATGTTTCAATAGAGACTTTTTTTACCCTAGGTGAGACTGAAAAGCCATGTGTGGTGCTTCTTCAAGATGATACAATTTATGAAGAACAAGAAGAGTTCAGGCTGGTTCTTGGAACGCCAAAAAGTGACTCACCTTTTGGGGCTTTGATTGGAGAAAAGAAAGAAACTTTAATGAAGATTAAAGACTTGGAGGACAGTACGTTTTCTGCTATTTATATTAATTATTGATCATAACTATAACTCTGTACTAATGGAATCCTGTTTCTGGCATCCTTAAGTTGTTTTAGTATTTAGTATTCAGTATGTTGACTGGTGCTGTATGCTATATGTACTATACTAAACTTAATCTATTCAAGTAGAAGAGAAAGAAATAACAATTATGTAGATGCAATACAGATACAATAACTGGATTTCACCTACTAATTTCCAGTCATTTCTCTCCACAGAACCAGTCATCAAGTTTTCCGAAATCAAATATAGCATCCAAGAGCCCCAGGAGACAGGAGAAATAGCTCTAGTGAAGATCCCTGTGCAGCGTATAGGAGATAGTTCCAAAGTGTCTATTGTAAGAATTCACACAAAGGATGGCTCAGCAACATCTGGTGAAGATTATAACCCACTGTCTGAAGGTATACAGCATTGCTGCTCTCCTGGAAAATAATTTACCTGTTTGTTGTAGACTATAATTTAACCACTTTGCAGATGCGGCTTCTCTTTTTTATATCAGTTGACTAATTTATTTCTCTTTTTGCCTTTTTTTATACTTCCATTCATTTCTTAAAATGTTTTGCTTTGCACGTATAGGAATTTGTGAGAATGTTTATCTCGCCCCCAAAAAAGCAAAACATATATCCCTATTAAATTAATAGACATACATCAAACTATATGAGAAATGTCTGCATTTACCGATCTTTATAAAATGTAGATTTACTGCACTACGTGCAACAGAACAGAATTTTACAAAATTTCAATCAAGCTTTGATATGTCCTCTATGTTATGTTGTATGAGGATGTCACTGAAGGAACATCAGATTTTCTACACAAAAGATGCTTCATTTTTCAATAATTTCCTAATGAATGCATATATGTTAATATTGTATACATTTATAAGGCATTCTGACATAGGATATCCAATTAAACAGCTATTTGTTTCATATTGTCTGCAGCAGTATTGTTGAAGATCTGCAATTACACCAATCTGTCTGCCTTACATACTGACAAAACAATGTAATTGATTTTTAAAGTGCACTTAGCAGCATTATTCTCTTTACCCAGACATTGAATTTAAAGAGGGAGAAACTGAACACTTTGTAGAAGTGGAAATATTATATGATGGCAAAAGAGAAATGCGTGAAGCTTTTACTGTTCATCTGAAGCCTGACGAGAACATGGTAGCTGAAACACAGGTAACAATTAAAAAAATATTGTAACTCAAAGCTAAACACTTTTGATCATATTTGCTACAGGATATAGACCAGTGGGTTCCAAACCAGTCCTCGAGGTACACCTACCAGTCCAGGATTTAGGGATTAGCCAGTTATGTATAAGATGTTTTTAAAAAGAAAAAAAAAGAAAACACTTTGACACAACTGGGTAATTCCTAAATCCTGGACTGATAGGCGTGCCTTGAGGACTGGTTTGGAAACCACTTATCTAGACCATTAATGTACTATATGTAGTCTTCTTCTAGAAATATCTTTCAAGTTCCTCTTTCACATAATCTGTGCTTTCCCTAGTACATCAACTATTTCACAATAAAGCATCATGAAACCTGCCCGGCCTAAAACCTACATCAGGGTCCCTTGTATAGATCCAGAGCCAGAATGCAGTAATAGACATACATGCAGTGCTTTACGTAATTGAGAGAGTACAGTTGAAAAATTAGTTAGCAGTCCAATGTATTATATCCTGGATGCAGTATTGTGGAATATAGATTATGTATGTTTTAGTATTATGGAATAGATTGCTGTTATGCAATAGAGCTGTAATATATTTAGCATGGGAGAACGTTGTCACAGTCACACTCACACACTGCCATTCCTGCTCTTCTTTCTAGTATATTGTTCTACAAGTGATGACACAGAACACCACAGACAATGAATCTGTCCATAAACTGTACTGCAGTCTTTACAGTTTGAGTGATTTCCATCTACGAGTATTCTATAAGCTAAGCCTTGTTAGTCTGGATTTTTACAAAATAGTTTTTGTAATGTGAATGTTGTCACATTTTATGTCAAACTGTACCTACAATGATCAAAGAACCCCTAATTATTGTAGGTCCATGTGGTATTTCTGGTATAAAGATAAGCAAGTTTCACTGACACATGAATTTATTTCAGATGAATAAGGCTATTGTGTACATTGAAGAAATGGACAGTGTTGCCGACGTGACGTTTCCAGCTGTTCCCCAGGTTGTGTCACTTTTAATATATGATGATACTTCAAAAGCCAAAGAGAACACACATCCACCTGCAGGCTACCCTGTAGTGTGTGTGACGGTATGTATTTTAATATTAATTATTATACAGAATTCAGCAGTAGTAAGATCAAAACATAATTATGAAATAGAACAAGAACTGATGTTTTAAATGTGTATATTTGCAAAATGTAGCTATTTTTGATGGTCAAATGCCTTTACGAAGTTAGTGTATATAAACATATATCAGACAATATATTAAATCTTTACATACAAAAGCTCCATTCATTCACTTTGCATTATTTAAAATCCTCAGTACAGCCACTCTCATTTACAACTTATAAGAGATTTAGGACTAATTGCAATTTAAAACAGTGGTTTATTTTTAAAGCAATAAAGAATTCATGAGCCTTAAATAAGGTTCTTAAAAATCCTCTGATGAGCTGAAGAGCGAAACGCGCGTCAGGGGCAACTCTGCTCACATTCAGTTCGAAGACATGTCACCATACAACAAGTAGTGTTCACAGCTAGCCTTTCTTACATGTAGTCCGTGACATGTCACCATACAACTATTAGGGTTTTCTGCTAGTCTTTATTTAAACAGACTCAGTTAAACTTCTGATAATAGCTACTTTGGTTTAACTATTGGTGGGTGGTGGTGCTACATTTAGGTTAATATAGGGAGAATATTTGGTATTAAGGTGTGCCCATGAAGGCATAGGGTTATCTGCATATAGCATATTTTATTCCATTTAGTAGTTTCATTTTATTTTTTCTACCATTTTTTCTACCATTCATGTTAATCAACAAAAATTATCTTTTCTAGGCATGCAATCCTAAATATTCTGATTTTGATAAAACTGGCTCTATTTGTTCAGCTGAGAATATTAATGATACCCTCACTCAGTATCGATGGCTGGTCAGTGCTCCAAGTGGCAGTGATGGAGTGACGAGTCCAATGCGGGAAGTAGACTCCAATACATTTTTCACAAACACCAAGTCAATCACATTAGACTCCATCTACTTCCATGCTGGTTCAAGGATCCAATGTGCAGCCCGGGCTGTCAATGTTAATGGAGATGCTGGACTTGAGCTACTAAGCCCAATTGTTACACTCAGCAGAGAGGAAGGTTAGTCTGTTTTGAATTCTATCACTGTTATTGGTGAAAATTCAATGGTTCTAATCACTCTAGTAGTAGAGAGAGGTGCAGTTACCAACCTTGGTCAGTTTTGGGGTATAGGACCAGTTGGTTCAGACTTAGTAGAACCAGACGAGGGTGCATTGGTGGTATGGGCCATTTCTTTCATAATTTCAATGTCCTCTATTTTGAGCAGTCATTCTTTGTAAGGTTATCAAAGCTTTAGCTGCATTAAATAAGCAGAAGGTGAAAGGTTTCTTATTTTTCTAGGGGATAAAGTCTGTAATGGAATAATTTCACTGAAATTGTCAGAGTGCTTGCATCTTCTCGAATAAGGATGAATTCCAGAGAAATGCCAGCAAATATGTAGAATGGACTCTGCTGCCTGACTGCATTGCCAGAAATGCAGGCAGATGAATGAAAAGGGTCTGTGTGGGAGTGTCTTGACTCCCATACCAGTGTATGACTGTTTCATTTTGAAAGAGAGAGAACATTGGTGTGTAAGAAGGAATATATATTTTTTCCCATCAAGTTAATTTTAGCATCACTGATAGTTCCTTTTCTAATATACAATGTATTTAGAAGGTTTGGTTGATTATGGGAGGGAGGTTAGGAGTTAAGAATAATAAAGATATACAATGTTCAAAACAGTTCAAGAGAATGCATTATTAAAAGGGGTTGGGCTTCTACGTAAGAAATGAAACTTATTGAGTAAACATAAAAAGATTTTGATACTATGGAGCTAGAACAATATTCCAAAAGTGGAGTTATCCAATTCCAAAGATGATTAATACTTGTTTCTCCTCTAGCAAATGGAGGACCCATGAGTATGTTACCTCATTGGTGTTTGTGGAGGATTTTGCTTAGATTGATAAAGAGAAGGAGTGTGAATTTATCAGTCAGAGCCATTTATCGGCAAGACCTAATGGGAGAAAAAGCTGGATACATTTTAAAGAGAGAGTAAATTGTACTTTCAAATTCCCAGAGAAGGGTAGCTAGTGGTAATACAACCATTCCAGGATTCTGAGAAGGCGAACTGCTTGGTAGTAAATTGTGTGGAAGTCTCTAGTCCCTACTTGATTTTTCACTTGAGGCTTGTCTAACTTCCAAACAAATGAGAGGAAAGGATGTTTTGAACTCTTGAAGGAATTGCAAGAAATACAGGATGCATGGAATATATTGATGTGTAGTAACGCTATTTCCCAGTCCATATTACCAGTGTGCCATTCATTTACAGAAGTCATCCACCAGCTTATTTAATAGGAGAGAGAAATTAGTGGAGTATAAGGACAAGTTGTCCAGGGTAAGGTTTACCATAGGTATTTCATGTAAGAATCACATCAATGCAATATGGTTCTAATTACTGGTATTTAGGGTTGGTTATCCTGTGCAGGAACAATAATCTTGAATATTTTAGATTTAGTTAAATTTGCTGACAAGTTGCTAAGTTCACCATATACTGAAAGATATAGTAGCGTAGATAACTATAAAGAAGAGATTGTCTGCATAGGAGCCGATCTTACGGTGCAATTTAAAATTTCTTAAACCATTATTGTGGCAAATCATTCAGAGTAAGGGTTCAAGAGAACCAAGGGTGCAAGGGGAATAGGAGGAGGAGAGTTGCAGCCTCGCCTAGTTCCATTTGTAATTGTGAAGCAAAATGAAAAGGGACCATTGATAGGACTTTGGTGGTGGGAGTAAACTTTAATGTCTAATTTTTTTGAATCTGAAAAAAATGTTGTACACTAAAACACAGATTATTTGTCTAGGTTTGTGCCAGCCTCGTGTTCCTGGAACAGTGGGAGCTGAACCCTTTTCTGCAAAAATTCGTTACACTGGCCCTGAAGATCCTGATTATCAAAACTTGATCAAGTTGACAGTAACTATGCCACATATGGATGGTAAGTGTTGCCAGCAAGAGTTTTTATTGCAAATTCAAAGTTATAGACGATTATTTAAAAAAAAGATTAAAATCACTAATATACACTACTATCACTAAGAGACAGGCTATGCACATTATCAGCTTTCTTACAATTCAGATCGGAGTTCGGGAATTCATGCAATCACTCGATAAGCACAAATTCGGACGAATTGCAATTTGTAACAAAACAAATCTACTAACAACCACTAGCTGTGCATAGTAGCTGTAATATTAAACATTATACAATGTGAATTTAGTTGCTAATCTGTTCTATCTTAGACAAATATTTCTAGCTATAAAATATGTTCTAATATGATTCTTTTGATGGACCACCTGGCACCCCGACTGGGTGCCTCCGCCAATTGCTGCTTCCTAGTGCTTGCCGAGTACCACAAGCACCGCACCAGACACCATCAGCACTGTAGTCCCCACTTCCAGCATTACAGCTTGGCTGGGGTCTCATCATCCTCCACCCACCCTGGACCCAAGACCAGAATCCAGCTTCCAGTGGGCGGACCTCTTCTACTCCAGAGAGTGTAGCAGGCTGCTCTTAAAAGAGCAAGTGATTATAACCCAGAGGAGTATAGTGATATAGCAATCCCCAGGGTAGATACAGCAATTTCCCCCACACATGAGATGAGACTCTATGTTGAGGGTAAGCAAGAACTCATTTATTGGTAGCCACAACTGGCATTATATGAAGGTCCCCATGCAAGGGGCACTCACCCCTGGACCTGAGAGTAAACCACAGTATAAACAAATACACAACCGCATTGGCTCTCAGATCCAGAACACTCCCATACATAATCAGATAATCCTCTGTGCCTGGGAGATAATTGGATCAGGAACTATACTAATCTAATCCAATTATCTCCAAGCACAGAAAAACATACTTTTTAACATTACCCTGAAAGTATCCCCAAAACTCATAGAAACCCCACAAAGGTTATATCCCCTGATACCCCCGATCTGGGGGACCAACATATCCAAAGATCACCCAGATTGGTTCAGGGGTTCAAGATTTCCACTTTGACCGACCGCACACGAGGCTCCTGCCCAAAAGAGTTCAATGAAATCAGACTGTGCAGTCAGTCGATTTCGGGAATACATAAAACAGTCAAAATACCGAATGTAAGACTTCGTATGGACACTTAGTTTTTTTTTCTTGTTTCTGGAGCTTGTTCCTACCGAACGCCGCCCTTCTCATATGATTCAAGATGAACGTATGAAGATATGGAAGTCCCAGCAGTCTTCACACCGTCGATTATAGTTCCATGCACTCGATGACCAAACACTGCTGTATGTGTTTGTGGCTAAAGATTGTCACCGGCACTTGTTCGCACATACGAACAACAGACAAACAGCTAACCACTTAGAACGTTGTGGTTAAACATAAGTCAGGGAGGTTAATGGGCTGCACACTCCTGTTCCGGGTGGTCCAACTGTTCAATAACCGAACAGAATAAGTACAATCCATTCGATAAGCCCCATATACCGAACCATAACAGGGAAAAGGCATGAACAAAGCCTGTCCACAGTCCTGAACCAAGGTCTAATACATGGGCCACAGGCAAGAGGCTGGCAAGAGCCTGGGGCAAGAGGTTGGCAAGCAGGCCCCCTCCAAGAACCAAAGGTTACTTTCGCCACAATTCTAATATGTTTTTAGAATCATATATACTAATACTAATTACTTATTTGATAATGGAGAGTAATGAAGTCAATACAATAAGAATATTGAAAGAGACATTTTTTGCATGAAACTACATATGAATGTTATAAAATTACATTATCTTTATTTTATCACAGGTATGCTGCCAGTTGTGTCAACCAGACACATGTCCAATTTTGAGTTAACTCTGAGCCCTGATGGTACTAGAGTGGGTAACCATAAATGTTCTAATCTCCTGGATTATAATGAAATTACAACAAAACATGGCTTCATCACAGATAACACCAAAAACTCGGAAATGATTGGGGAGACCTCTCCATACCAGTACAGCACTGCCCTGAGATCTGCTAGAACTCTGCGATTTTATAGAAACCTTAATCTAGAAGCCTGTCTCTGGGAATTCAACAGTTACTATGATATGTCAGAGCTTTTAACAGAATGCAGTGGAAGCATTGCGACAGATGGTCAAGTAAGTGGTGTTGTATTAAAGTATTAATCGACAGGTCTAGAATTCTATTTATTGCACACTCTTGTGGCATTCACACTGCCATTTGTACAGCAGATGCAGGTCCCAGAGACCCAGAAATGATCAGAGTGCTACATTCTATTGACGAGAACAACATTTCTATGATACCAAAAAATTAAGAGCATTTGATTTTATCTACCTTTATAAAAAAAAAACAGAACAATTCTTGTCTGTATCTAGCAAAATGTAGGATAAGAAAATAAGAGACTTTTTGAAGTATTCATGTGTAATCCATGCAAGCTAATTGCCCATATACTTTTTCAGGGTTTTTTTGTGTTTTTTTTTTTTTAAACATAAGCCTAACCCTTTAATCTTCCTGTGTTTTTTGTCTAGCCTACTCATTCTTTTCAACCCTGTCATTAGTCTTTTCAGAACTCCTGCACTGCTGAAGGACTGTGTAGAAGAGCATTTTAATTTCATTTCATTTGTGCAGGACGAGTGGCATATCTGTACAACTTTTTTTCTAATCTATCCAGAATTTTTAAGGTGTAGATATACATGCAGATCCTGGATCTACATAAATATGTTGCTTTCACTAGGGTACAAGATATGAGAGTAAATTGTACCCAGTTGTAACATAGTTATACTGCTGTTTGCAGTTGACTGTTTCAGTTAAAAAAAAAACTGAAAGTTGGAGAATCTTATTTAGAAAAAAAACATAGTATAAAATCTCATACTCAGTGAAATGTTATATTTATAATTGCTTTTATTTGCTAATTTCACAAAACAGTATTGAAAAGAAAATACACACACAGCAAATTGAGTTATTAATCAAATTATAAAATTTAGGTCAGAATATAAAAGCAACTGACATCCATTCACACTTTATATGCCCCCGAAAAGTGATTTTTGAGTATGTTTCAAATACTACCACGTTAGACATCTGGACACATAAGTCATGTGTACATAATATTGCAGAAACCCATCAACCTCCACAACAATCAGAATTCAACAAATAAATGGTTGGCTTTGCAGTGCAGTCTAATTTGCAGTTTTTTGTGATTTAATGTAAAAAGGCTGAAACAGGGTGCAGCCAAACAATAAAGATAAAATGGAGCTAAAAAGACCTAGCATCGTAGGGCAGCAAAAGCCAAATTTATATTCCCACCCCAAAATGTATTCAAATTAAAAAGGCGTTTTTTAGAATATATAATATAGCACCTGGGTATTTTTTTGTTTTATTTTGATTGTTGGGGTTAAGTGCCAGAACCTGGACGATAGACAGACAGATAAATAGGTAGATAGATAGATAGATAGATAGATAGACCGACAGATAGATAGGTAGACAGACAGATAAATAGGTAGACAGACAGACAGATAAATAGGTAGATAGATAGACAGACAGACAGATAAATAGGTAGACAGACAGACAAATAGGTAGATAGATAGATAGATAGATAGATAGATAGATAGATAGATAGATAAATAGATAGATAGATAGATAGACAGACAGATAAATAGGTAGACAGACAGACAAATAGGTAGGTAGATAGACAGATAGATAGATAGATAGATAGATAGATAGATAGACAGACAGATAGATGATAGATAGATAGATAGATAGATAGACAGACAGATAGATAGATAGATAGATAGAGAGAGAGAAATAGATAGATAGACAGACATATAGACATATAGATAGATAGATAGATAGATAGACAAACAGACAGATAGATAGATATATAGATAGATAGATCTTTTCACGTATCACATTAGGGCTATAAAATGTTTTTTTTTTTTAATGTTTCTAAGTAGAATGTCCTTTATAAAACTGTGGGCTATAGAACTATAATAATATTTATGCTTAGGGATTTGTGGTTCTGTGCTTGTGATTGGTGTCCTACAGAGTTCATTGTGTACCCCGTAGGCTAGATGTTTGTTCTCTGGGATACCTTTATTTACTAGCTGGAATTCCATTCACGATGTGTGCATTCTAAGATGAATAGAGACTAGGGCCCCTCACCCTTTTTTTTTTTTTTGTAGTGAGAGAGGTGTTGAAGGGTTAGCTGCACAGCCTCTGTACCCATGAATGACATTTACAATATACACAGGCAGACATAGATAGACCATAGCATACTTTTGTCTCGTGTTCGAAAGATTAACCCTTCAGTAACAGAGCTGTAGACACTGTCTACAGTGCACTGCATCTGATTTGGAACCTAAAGAGTAATGTTTTTATAAAATAGCACATTTAATTACCTGAATTCCAGAAATATGAACCAGGAAATAAAGTTGGGATCAGCATTATCAAGAGTTAATGGACAGGATTCAGTGATGCTTAACTATGGAGCTAAATAACAAAATAATCAAGCCACATGTGTGTGTTCAGGTCTGAGCGGTGATATGAAAGCATCTAGCAGATAGGTCGCTCTTTGTGTTCAAGGAATAGTACCCAGGAGATATATTTTCATAATTATAACCATTTAGATAACCCTGCACGTCATGGCTGGAGATAATATAATGAGGGATGAGTTCTAGAACATTGATGTGGCAGTTGCAAATGGAATTGAAACCATGAGTAAACTGAAGTATGGGACTATTCACAGCCAACAGGATTATAGACTCTAGCAATGCACACAATTGAAGCCACATAGAGCATAAGGAAAGCATAAGGAAACCATGTAGAACATAGGCTGATCCAACAGATATTGCACATGACAGAGTCACAACAGGAATAGCTGCAGAAATATATAATTGATAATATTATACTAGTGATTAAATGTTAAATATAGCTATTTTTTGTTTCAACTTTGTTATTGTTCCCATGTTAACTTTGCGGTTTATGTTACTTTATAATCCTCATTTTATTTCCATGTAATTTAGCAGTGTTGCCCAGTTATTTATTTTTGCAAAAATACATAGATAAATAATTTTTAACCCCTTAAGGACCAAACTTCTGGAATAAAAGGGAATCATGACATGTCACACGTCATGTGTCCTTAAGGGGTTAAAAGCAAAGTTAAACATAGATAATCTATAAATGCTTTAAATTTCATAAATGGTCATGGGCCTTCGTTAAAATCTCCACTAACATGATTCATTCATTTGAAATCTTTTTGTAAATATCTTGCATTGGGAAGTATGTTAAAGGAAAGAAATATGTTTTTAAGCGTAATATATATGTTTGCAGCACTATTGAAGACCTTTTCAGCATGGAATCACTAAGCCGACTAAGACAGTCCCATAATCTAGAAACTTTTTCGATCCTTTCTACATAAAATTCCTGTAAATATGACTAGAAATGTTATGTTGTATAATTTTCTATGTAATCAAAACAAATGTGTGTGCCACATAAACTGTTTACTTATAAAGGTGATAAGTGTTTTTTAGAGCTGTACAGTATTAAGATGGGCTGCGATCTTCGTAATGATAACTATGTCTTTTCTTACAGGTGCTGAATTTGGTCCAGTCCTATGTCACCCTAAGAGTGCCCCTTTATGTATCCTATGTCTTTCACTCACCTGCAGCAGTTGGAGGTTGGCAGCACTTTGACCTCCAGTCGGAGTTGAGACTGACATTTGTATATGACACAGCCATTTTATGGAATGAAGGAATTGGCAGCCCCCCAGAATCCGAACTGCAGGGTAGGTTCACTGTTTGTTAGGCCATGTTGTACTAATAACCAATCACATTTAACAAGGGGCAAAAGAGAAATTACATTACATCTTAGATCAATTTCTTTTTAAGAGGGCTATTGCAAAAGATTATATATATCATACAAATAATGGAAGTTTAGTTACATTATATGATCATACATTGGATAAGTCTGCCACAATGTTAATTGCTTCAGTCTTCTTGCACTTTCAGGACAATTTGGGGTATTAAGTTATTCTATATTAAAGATGACACATTTTAATGTTTCAGTCTTCAAATTATCTGTCTATACAATGCTGAGTCGGCAGCACTCATCTCATACGTAAAAAATGTATTCAATAAAAGTGCTTAAAGTTCACTAAGAGTGTCGGGTACGCTTTAAAAAATCTTCCCCCAAAGCAAAAACAAGGAAAAATGTTACATGTATCAAACTATGTGAATGAATAGGCATAAAATATATTAATTCCAACATTCATATTTTGGCTTATTTTGCTATACAATAATATTAATTAAAAAAAACTTAACTTGTGTGTTTTTGGTTTTCAGGATCTCTGTATCCAACCAGTATGCGCATAAATGATGAAGGACAGCTGGTTGTTAACTTTAAGACTCAGATTCGCTTCCGTGGACAGTTTGTTACGTCTCACCCAGGTAACACATATTTGTGATAAACATGTATTCAACCAATGTGCAAATTTGCTCTTACAGAATTATTTACTAAAGTGAGAATTCAAAGTGAATTTCAAATTTTAGGCCAACGCAGCTGAATTTGAAGATTAGCTAACATAGAGAATTTTTCAAATTTGGCTATTTTGTCCTTAAATTTAAAATTAATGTTGCATTCACTTCACATTTTCACTGTAGTAAATTACCCTTTGAGTTTACATACGATTATAAAACAAGACATCTTCACTTATCAAAATGAGAAAATCTTTGTACACAAAATGAATTAATATTACCAATTTGCAACGAGCTTTCATTCATTAATTGTTAAGGTTTTCTAGGGGTGTAACATTTAGCGAAAATGAAAATAAGTTGCTGTATGAGAGATCTGGATTATGTATTCAGCACAAAGACAAACCTCATCACAAAGATGTCTGTTGGAAACTGATGTGACTCTTGGTGCATTTTGCAGTGTTGAATATAATTAGACTGTTAGACAGAAATAGAATTATTCAGTGTGAAAGTGAATCTGATCTTGTGCATCAGACTGAATATTATTTTTTTTACCTCTCAGGTACTTCTCTGTCATCAATGGTAATGTCTGCTGACCACCCAGAGCTCACATTCTCAATGAGTCTTCTTCGCAGTGAGCCGAGCTTCGCACAGCCAGTGCAGCAATGGAGCTTTGTCTCAGACTATGCTGTAGGTATTTAGTTCAGAGCCCACAGCTTGATGGCATGCTAGTCATTTTGTAACATTAAAAAGTGAAAAAGCATAGATAATTTTAGGGTAAAACTTGCACTATCACAAAATATATTCCTACAAACTGTTTAATAAGGCAGATTCAGCTTGTCTCTCCCTTTTCGACACTCATACACTTGGTATGAGTTATGATAGTGCCATCTAGTGGCTGTTATACCCAGTTTGGATTCTGGGCAACATAGAAACATAGAAACATAGACTGTGACGGCAGATAAGAACCATTCGGCCCATCTAGTCTGCCCAGTTTTCTAAATACTTTCATTAGTCCCTGGCCTTATCTTGTAGTTAGGATAGCCTTATGCCTATCCCACAAATGCTTAAACTCCTTTACTGTGTTAACCTCTACCACCTCAGCTGGAAGTCTATTCCATGCACCCACTACCCTCTCTATAAAGTAATACTTCCTGATATTATTTTTAAACCTTTGTCCCTCTAATTTAAGACTATGTCCTCTTGTTGTGGTAGTTTTTCTTCTTTTAAATATAGTCTCCTCCTTTACTGTGTTGATTCACTTTATGTATTTAAATGTTTCTATCATATCCCCCCTCTCTTGTCTTTCTTTCAAGCTATACATGTTAAGATCGGGCAATTACCCGGTCAAGTCCAAAAAAAAATCCAGAAATTCAAGCAAAGACTGATGTTTGAGTTAAATAATGCAACAAAACAAATACTTCAATGCCAAGATTTAATGTAAAACTTGAAAAAATACATGAATAACTACAACAAAAGTAAAAAAAAAAAAATGCATTTAAAGCAACATTATCGACTTAAGGAATACAAACCTAAAAACTAAAAGTTTTACTTACCATTTTCAAGTGCAGAAGCTTACTCTGCACTGCTCACCTCTCCGCCTCCTGTGCAGTCATTGAGGATGCATGGCCTCCTCCGTAGGTTGTTCCAATCCAATGCCCATCATAGAGGAGTACCAGACCCTCATTGAGGACCAGATGCCCATGTATCCCATGCACATCCAAGTTTCCCCATAGGAAAGCATTTAATTGCGTCTTTTTAAACAAAGAGTGTACATTTGGCTACAACAAGAGTTTATGGTCTTGTACTAGAATGTGGAAACCTTTAAAACCTTATGGAAACATTGATGACTGCATTAAAATGCATATGTCATAGATAAACAGGCTTGTTGCACAGAGGAAGTGGTTATTCTAATTTATACATTATTCTCTGTTAGTCTGGATAACCTATGTCATTGTAATAATAATACTATTTAGAGTGACCAGTATATATGAGTTGTATTAAGTTTATTTGTTACATCTATGCAATAAACAACATTTATATTATTTGTTAGGTACGGGATTACTCAGGAACATATACAGTAAAGCTCATTCCATGCAGTGCATCTCCTAACCAGGAATACACAATACCCATTGTGTGTAACCCTAGAGAACCTATAGCCTTTGATATCGATATAAGGTTCCAACAGGTAAGACAATGATTTTGCCATTGTTTTTATATTTTAATTGTAAGACTGTATCCTACATACAGATGTATTTGTTTGTGTATGTGTCTATTTGTGTATTGAACAGTGAGTTTGACATTTTCTTTTTGCAGGTTAGTGATCCTGTAGCAGCAGAGTTCAGCCTCAACACACAAATGTTTTTGTTGTCTAAGAAGGAACTCTGGATCTCTGATGGCTCAATGGGATTTGGGGAGGGAGCCGATGTTGCATTTTCTGAAGGTATGGAAACATTGCTCTTAATATATTGATGAGATTTTTTGCATTTTAATTTAAAATACTGCACCATTCATGGCATTGTGTAATAGTGAATTCTGTAACTAGCATTGTGTAACTAGAAAGTCTTTGCTAGCCTGGGCCAGCAATGACTTTCTAGTTACACAAAAAGAAATACTCTGTGATTTCACTTCTTCTGCAGAAGTGCCCTAATTTTGCCTCTATAAATGTTGTAAAATGTGGTCCTTTAAAGCGGCTCTGTCATCTCTTTTTTTTCTTCTTTAATATTGTGTTTCATCTGCTCCGGATTTTCTTTTTTAAAAACTATGATTATTTTAGAAGTTATACATAATGAAGCATAGGGACTATGTTTCTTAATGTACAACTTGCAAGTTGAAATTTTTTTACAAAGGCTTCAGTTTAGTCAAACTCCACAGCCATTGTCTACTTTATAATTGGCTGGCCACCTAGTACTCACTTTCAGCCAGTGTCCGTCACTTCCTGGAGCATCGCAATATGAGTTCTTTGTTGACTCTTGCGGGAGCACGAGCGTCAACACAATGTTGTAAACCCACCTCGAAGTCCATGTAATTTGCCGTGCAGGCCATAGGAAGGGCAAAAGTAGGAGATTTCCAGAACAGCTAAGAGGGCATGCCATGAATGAAGATTTCAACATCATGACTGAAGGTAAGTATCACCAGTCCCAGTGTGACCTAAATGTTATTGGCGATTGGGGGGTGCTAGACAAAGGCTGGTGACAGTAATTACAGTGACAGACACGCTTTAACTTATATAGAAAGTCAGTTTATTATTTAGATCTCCTTACTGTTAGAATGTTCTAAACAATTTGTGCATTGTTGTTTTTGATAATTTGTACAAGTAATTCAATTAGAGAAATTAAGTGACTAGTGATACTGGTTTCATTGGTTATCTTGGTTATTTTAATAAGAAAGTGATTTATTTTTCCAAAAATTCCCATGTATGTATATATGCATGCATCAATGAAGAAGCTTACTCAATTAAAATTTTATTGCAGCAGTGTATTAACAATCAGTCACAGTCGACGTTTCAGTCATCAGTCGGGCCTTTTCTCAATATTGTTGGACTGAAATGTTGACTGTGGTTAATTGTTAATACAATGCTGTATTAAACAGAATAATATTGCATTAACATGAGACCCCTGAGTGAGCTTCATTGCTGCACATTTGATTTGGTTATTTGGTTGGAGTGCATGTATATATATCTACAATCCCTCAGGGGAACTTACTCAAAGGACTGTTTAGTATATTTAAACAAATACTTTTATTCAATACATGATCAAAGTTTTGGTCCCAACTGGACTTTCATTCCTTCAAGAGATTGTATACATTTGGCTGGAGTGAACTGTGGCAAAAGAATAAGGAGAAACGGGTGCTTTACCGAGAAATGTTATATACAGTAAGGGAAAAAAGTATTTGATACCCTGCTGATTTGGAACGTTTGCCCACTGACAAAGAAATGATCAGTCTATCATTTTAACAGCAGGTGTATTTTAACAGTGAGAGACAGAATAACAAAAAAAAAAAAATCCAGAAAACACCATATCAAAAAACGTATAAATTGATTTGCATGTCATTGAGTGAAATAAGTATTTGACCCCTTCGACTTAGTACTTGATGGCAAAACCCTTGTTGGCAATCAGAGGTCACATGTTTCTTTTAGTTGGCCACCAGGTTTGGACACATCTCAGGAGGGATTTTGTTCCACTCCTCTTTGCAGATCCTCTCATAGTCATTAAGGTTTCAAGGCTGATGTTTGGCAACTCAAACCTTCAGCTCCCTGCACAGATTTTCTATTGGATTAAGGTCTGGAAACTGGCAAGGCCACTCCATGTGCTTCTTCTTTTTTTTTTGTCTTTTTATTAAATTTTTTAACAAATTACATTTACAAAAAGTTGCAAGACATTCACATACACAAACAAACACAAACATTCCCAACCCACTACGAGAGATCTCAAAACTAGCCATCCCGTTATCACACTTCAATTGGTATTGATATTACATTTTTCGTAATTTATTATCCCAACTGTCCCAAAGGCTCGAGTTGTTATTCAGGCTTTTGCAGTGGTCCTTCTCCATTTTAAGTTGGTAAACCAGTTGTGAAACTATTTGTTTAATTGAAAAGGGATTACCTCCCTTCCAATTTCTCGCCATCACTATTTTACAAGCCATTAAACAATGTATAATTAAGAATTGTTCTATTTTGTTTAGTTTTGGCCACTGACAATGTAATAGCATTATTTCAGGTTTTAAAAATATTTTAACATCACATAATGTATGAATAATATATTGAGCCCACTGCCATACCACAAACACTTTTTTACATGACCATCACACATGGATGTAGTTCCCTTTTTCCTCTCTACATTTCCAATATTTAGCTTCCGTACCCGTGGCAAATTTTGATATTTTATTTGGCATCATGTACCATAAGTTGGCTATCTTAAAATGTGTTTCTATTAATACAAAAGAATGTACATGTTTATTGATTTTTTTGGAAAGTAGATGTCCATTCCTTTAATTATATATTTGTTTTTAAGTCAATATTAAATTTTTTAATGGCGGTGGGAATTTCAAAATTGTATAATTTCTCTAACAATCTAAAACATTTAGAGAATAGCTGCTTTATTTTATTCTGATATAGAATTGATTTTAGTATGTCATATATCTTGCCCTCTGTAACTAATACACCCTTGTCTAAATAAAATTTAACTCTAATATAGGAAAAAATATCTTTACCGGGAACCTGAAACTCCTCTACTAGCATTTGAAAAGGTTTAATTTTATTATCTTTAACCAGGTCTTTTAATGTGTTAATTCAGTTTTCTTTCCATGATTTTAAGGAAATGTTCTCCATATTGAGTTCTAGTATTTTTAAGCTTTGAAAGTCAAATATTTTGTTGTCTAAATTATTTTTTTTCCTTATTTTTTGCCATGTTGGAATAATCTGTCCTAAAATATATGATCTAGATAGGTTAAGTTTTTTTTATAATCCAAATTAGCTCCAAGGGATCTCTTACTTGGCTCACTTCTAATTCTGTCCTCAGCCATACTTCTTCACATAATGTATGAATAATATATTGAGCCCACTGCCATACCACAAACACTTTTTTACATGACCACCACACATGGATGTAGTTCCCTTTTTCCTCTCTACATTTCCAATATTTAGCTTCCGTACCCGTGGCAAATTTTGATATTTTATTTGGCATCATGTACCATAAGTTGGCCATCTTAAAATGTGTTTCTATTAATACAAAAGAATGTACATGTTTATTGATTTTTTGGGAAAGTAGATGTCCATTCCTTTAATTATATATTTGTTTTTAAGTCAATATAAAAATTTTTAATGGCGGTGGGAATTTCAAAATTGTATAATTTCTCTAACAATCTTAAACATTTAGAGAATAGCTGCTTTATTTTATTCTGATATAGAATTGATTTTAGTATGTCATATATCTTGCCCTCTGTAACTAATACACCCTTCTCTAAATAAAATTTAACTCTAATATAGGAAAAAATATCTTTACCGGGAACCTGAAACTCCTCTACTAGCATTTGAAAAGGTTTAATTTTATTCTCTTTAACCAGGTCTTTTAATGTGTTAATTCAGTTTTCTTTCCATGATTTTAAGGAAATGTTCTCCATATTGAGTTCTAGTATTTTTAAGCTTTGAAAGTCAAATATTTTGTTGTCTAAATTATTTTTTTTCCTTATTTTTTGCCATGTTGGAATAATCTGTCCTAAAATATATGATCTAGATAGGTTAAGTTTTTTTTATAATCCAAATTAGCTCCAAGGGATCTCTTACTTGGCTCACTTCTAATTCTGTCCTCAGCCATACTTCTTCTTTGTTTTGTTCTACCTGACTGGCCATGACGTGCGTGATGATCCCTGCTTCATAGTATTTTATTATATTTGGATACCCTAAGCCTCCCTTCTTAATTCCTCTTGATAATACTCCGTTTTTAATTTTGGTTTTTTTCCCTCGCCATGCGAAGTTAGAAAAGGCCGCATTAATCATTGTTAGCCATGATTTCGGTATTTCTAATGGTAGCATTCTGAACAGATAGATCCAATTTGGTAAGACATACGATTTCAGGATATTTATTCTTCCTCCCCAAGATATTTCTAGTTTTCTCAATTCTTTTATATTTTTCTTTTTTTCTTTTAAAAGATCCATGAAGTTTGTGCGCATAATGCTTTTAATGTTCTTACAAATTTTAATTCATAGGTATAAGAATGTTTTAGCATTAATAAAACGATATTTTTCTTGATAAGAGTCTATCTCTTGCTTTGATATATTAATGTATATTGCAGTTGATTTTGTTTTGTTTAGCTTATAATTTGATACCGCATTGTATAGTTCAATCTCTGTCATTGCACTTGGTATCGAAGTTGACGGGTTACTCAAATATAAAACATAGTATCGCCAGCATAAAGAGATAGTTTCGGTTCTTTTTGTTTTGCTATGAATCCTTTGATCTTTGCGTTTTGTCTAATTCTGTTTGCTAGAACTTCTAAAGTTAGTATGTACAATAAAAGGGATAGAGGGCATCCTTGTCTGGTCCCATTATTTAATTTGAACCAGTTTGAGCATATACCTGGACCAATTGTTCTCGCCATATAAAGCCAAAATCCAGTTAACGACCATCCTCGTATACCAATTTCTTCTAAAGTGTACTTCATGAAGTCCCAGCTGACCCTGTCAGAGGCCTTTTCAGCATCCAAACACAGGATCAGCATGGGACTCTCATTTAGTTGTGCTGTGTCCAATACGTCTATCAATCGTCTGATATTATTGTTTGTCATTCTATGCGGAACAAAGCCTGTTTGATCAGGGATAATTAGGTGACTCATAACTACTTTTACTCTACTGGCTATAATGGAGGAAAATAACTTAATATCTACATTTATTAACGATATTGATCAATAGCTTTGGACTCTAGTTGGGTCTTTCCCCGGTTTCAATATGGGAAGAATGTTTGCTTTTAGCATTTCATTTGGAAATCTGTCTTTTTTAACTGCCGTATTAAAAGGGTTTTTTAGGCAACCTGTCTATAGCTCTGTTAACCTCTTCCTCCGTGATCTCTTTATTTAAATTATTCGCTTGAATTTCTGTTATTTTATTCAACTTAGCTGATTTTTTTTTAATATTCTTTATTTTTGTTTGTGCATGCATGGACAATCTGGTTTGCTACGCCACAACAGCTGTAGCAGACCCTTTATTATCATAAGAACGAGAAAACACATCATGGCATGTTAAAAAAAAAACTGTGCACATTTTTAGGTAAATAAAGAGATTAGCAGGGTTATCTGGCAATACAGGTGCTGAAACTTTGTCACGTCATAATAAGTGGTTTAAACTTCCCTGTTTGTCTGTAACAGTGTTATAGGGTAGAGCCCGCAGTGTTACGGCTAATTGTGCGAACCTATCAATAAAAAGAGTGAATTTACAGACTTAGGCAATGTCGTTTGAAGTTGTGTGTGAGTGGGGTTCAGTTTATGACATCGCAATCAGAGGGGTTGCGTTGGCACCTTGAGGGTCATTTGGGCAGTTGGTTTGGGTGAGCTCAGCTTAGCGACCGTTCACACTCGGTGTGCCTGTGTGGGCAAGCTACACGCAGGTGAATCCCCGTGGCTGTTCCCTCTGGTATGTGTGCTGTGCGCTGGGGTGATCTAGAGCATTCGAGTGGGGTGTTCTATGAGGGTTCCCTGCGTGCAGGTGAGATATTTGTGTCCTGCATGCCCTGTGTGGGGCTGTGAGTGTCTTAGAATTAAATTTAGAACAGAAACAGAAAACGTTAACGAAGCCAACCGTGAACTTGGGTCCATGTGGGAATCGGTCCTTTCCCTCACTGGGGATGGTGTGTGGCTCTAACAATAAAGGCAACCTGGCATCGCCCGAGTGTTCAGTTGGTAATTGATGCGTAAGTGTCCATCTGGGTGCCTTGTGGTACAAATGGGGTGATGTTGGCTGGGTCCCATCTGCTGGACGAGGAGACTTGATCCCTTGTTCCATGTTGTGTCAATGCGTCTGCTGGGATGCCCAAGGTCTGCAGGAGTGCTGCTGCTTCTTGCATATTCTGCACATAGTGGACAGTGTCCCTGTGTTGGATGTGCAGCTTTCGTGGCGGGCGCCACTGGTAGCGTATGTCGTGCTCCCGGAGCAGGGTGGTGAACGGCCTCATCGTTCCTCTCCATTGAAGGGTGTCTCCCGTGAGGTCCGCATAAAAAGTAAGGGTCATATTTTCCAAAGCGTAGGGGGCTGTCCCCTTGAGTGCCGCTAGTACCATCTTTCTCCGCACTGCTTCGGAACTTCACCACCAGGTCCCGGGTTGGCAGGAGCTTTCCATGGTTTGGGTATGTGGAAGACTACGTTTTTGGCCCGTTTGGGTGTTAGTAGGGAACTCAGTAGCCTCCACAGCAGGTGAGGTAGCTCTTCTGTCGGCACCTCTTCTGGTACTCCCCTTACTTTGAGGTTGTTTCGGCGCCTCTCATCCTCCAGCATTGCCAAGCGCAAGTCCGTTAGGCCCTGTTGTTTCTTTAGTTCGGCCATTTCACCCCGGAGCTCCGTTATGGAGTGGGTCGCGGCCTCTGCTGAGGTTTCCACTTTGCCCAGGCGGCTCACCATTCCTTTGAGGTCTGTGCGGAGTAATGCCACGTCAGCCTGGATGTTTTTTTGGAGGTCCCCCAGCATTGCTTTGAGGGTTGCCTCCGTCACTGGTGCTGAGGTCTTTGGGGCCGACCGTGGCTGTGGTGGTTGAGGCAGCCCCACAATGCTGCCGTCCAGGGACAGGTCCTCCGAGGAGTCAGTCAGTTCTACGAGATCAGTGGCCATCTTGGGTCCGCATGCACCCTGCGCTTGTCGAAACATTTCCCCTATAGTCATGCCCGACCGGGGCTTGTCTGGCTTCTGCTTCTTCGCCTTTCTGCCCATGGTCAGCTTGGGGTCAGTTTCAGTGTTTTCCACTGAATTGTGAGGGTCGGAATTTAGTGTCAATCAATATCGCTCACGGAGCTCGGTTCACATGCGTCCGTCTTCAGTTCAGTCGCTCGGCTCCGCCTCCAATTTAGCTGATTTAATATAATCTTTTATTATTTCTGGAGGAGTAATTTTTGAAAGACTATATAAATTAGCATAATACTAATTGAAGGCTTTCCCTATATCTTCCGGAAGAAGGGAGATGGTATCGTTATTTATTATTTTATCAACCTGATTAATTGTTTCTTTTTTTAACATGTTGGACATTATTTTGTCAGCTCTGTTGAAATTATGATAATATTTAATTTTAAGTTTGGACATATTTATTCTAATTTTTTCAGAAGCACATATTTTTAAGGGAAAGAATCTACTGACCCATCTATTTTCATCTTGTTTACGCCAGTGTGTCTCTTAAAACCATAGCAATTTGGACTGTTTCCTTTTTCAAATAGTCTTGAAAAGCACGTCTTTTTTTGTGGGATATTTAATCCTTGAATGTTTATCGTTATCAATATAATATGTTTATATCATATATATATATATAATGTGCTTCTTCTTAAGCCACTCCTTCGTTGCCTTGGCTGTGTATTTTGGGTCATTGCAATGCTGGAATACCCATCTATGACCCATTTCTAATGCCCTGGCTGTGGGAAGGAGATTCTCACCCAAGATTTGACGGGTGAGAATCCGTTGATGCTGTGCAGTTGTCGTGTCCCCTTAGCAGAAAAACACCCCCAAAGCATAATGTTTCCACCTCCATGTTTGACGGTGGGGATGGTGTTCTTGGGGTCATAGGCAGCATTCCTCTTCCTCCAAACACAGCGAGTTGAGTTGATGCCAAAGAGCTTAATTCTGTTCCACAACACTTTCACCCAGTTCTCCTCTGACTCATTCAGATGTTCAATGGCAAACTTCAGACGGGCCTGTACATGTGCTTTCTTGAGCAGTGGGACCTTGCGGGAACTGCAGGATTTCAGTCCTTCACGACGTAGTGTGTTTCCCATTGTTTTCTTGTTTCCAATTGTTACTATGGTCCCAGCTGCCTTGAGATGAATAACAAGATCCCCTGTGTAGTTCTGGGTGGATTCCTCACCGTTCTCATGATCATTGAAATTCCACGAGTTGAGATCTTGCATGGAGCACCAGACCGAGGGAGACTGACAGTTATTTTGTGTTTCTTGCATTTGCGAATAATCGCACCAACTGTTGTCACCTTCTCACCAAGCTGCTTTGCGTTGGTCTTGTAGTGCATTCCAGCCTTGTGTAGGTCTACAATCTTGTCCCTGACATCCTTGGACAGCTGTTTGGTCTTGGCCATGGTGGAGAGTTTGGAATCTGATTGATTGATTGCTTCTGTGGACAAGTGTCTTTTATACAGGTAACGAGCCAAGATTAGGACCACTCCCTTTAAGAGCTCGTTACCTGTATAAAAGACACATGGGAACCAGAAATCTTGCTGATTGACATGGGATTAAATACTTATTTCACTCATTCACATGTAAATCAATTTATAAGTTTTTTTGACATACGTTTTTCTGGATTTTTTTTATTCTGTCTCTCACTGCTAAAATATACCTACCATTACAATTATAGATTGATCATTGCTTTGTCAGTGGACAAAATCGGCAGGGGATCAAACACTTTTTTTCCATCACTATATATATTTATATACACATAGGTATATGACAGACAATTGCTCACATGTTTTTGTCTTGCTTTATTTGTTTTGTGTTTCTGTAGTTTTTATTTTAGTTTTATTTAATATTTTTGTATATTGGTGTTTCATGACAGTGCTGCCTCATTTGATGCAGTCAGAGTATACAATAAGATAGAAATGTACTAATATTTTTTCTTTATTTTTAAGGTTCCACAATTTATGGAAGAATAATGGTGGACCCAGTTCAAAACCTTGGAGACTCTTTTATCTGTAGTATTGAAAAAGTGTTTCTATGCTCCGGTGCTGATGGATATGTTCCTAAATATGACCCAGATAGAAATGAATATGGATGTCTTGCCAGCTCACCTACTTTAATGTACCAATTTAAAATACTGGTATGTTATAAATTACTATACAATTATATGAAATGCTAGCAAAACATAATGGGGTTTTAGTTCTACAGCTGAAACATTATTGGACATTATTAATACTGCAAGTGGCAGCTGATTTCCATGGCAAAAACAACTAGATAGAGGAGGGGAATTTGTACTGACCAAGGGCCCATGGATCTTGTCAATTATCATTACAGCCATCCACACCTAGACACTGATTGTTGCAATGAAAACCACTAGTAACAGGGAAAGAAATTTAAAATGTTCCAAGGACGTCAAGCCAAGATCTGTATAAGCACTATCACACTTAGGCAACATTTTATTTAATTTCCCTAACTTTACTTGAGATACAGACACACTATACATAGAGGCCTTTTATATGTATTTTGTGCTTACGGCGAGGCTTTGTTGTGTGGCAGGATCACTGTGTGTGTGGGGTAAGTGTAGGAGATATGTGTGGGGAGGCTGTGTTTTTCTGTCCAGCACCCCACACTAGAACTTTTTATTTTATTTTATTATTTAGCAGTAGTCTCCCTCAAGCTTGCCTTTTGTGTAGGATGGAGGGGCTCTGATATTAATTCTCTGGCAGTCCAGTGGGCTCTCTGGTGGTCCGGTTGGCTGTAAGGAAGACCCATCTGTATACTCCCTTCTGGTCTTTGACCAGGGGGAGCATCAATAGTGATCTGCACTCAACCAGAGGTGCAGACCTGCAGTATAGATCACCCCGACAAACTCCTGCAGTTGCAGTGGGGCTCAGTGGTGCCAACTATAATTGTAGTTCTGGCGCTGCTATCTGGGCGGCTATTGCAAATTACATTTCTCTGCAATAAACACATTTAGATTGCAATAGTACAATCATGTATACATGAGTGGTGGAGTGAAGGAGTTAACTGAGGTCAATCATTATTTTATACATGTCAATTTATACGTGTTTTGAACATGTTGGGTTAATTTCTGTGACAAATTAAATGACAGGACAATGAAATATTGTGGAATATTATACACAGTTATATCCCTCAAAATGTTTCCTTTAACCCCTTATGGACCAAACTTCTGGAATAAAAGGGAATCATGACATGTCACACATGTCATGTGTCCTTAAGGGGTTAAAGGGACACTCCAGGAACCCAGACCACTTCTGCCCATTGGAGTGGTCTGAGTGCCAACTCCCACTACTCTTAACCCTGCAAGCGTAATTATTGCAGTTTTTTGTAAACTGCAATAATTACATTGCAGGGTTAACTCCACCTCTAGTGGCTGTCTATTAGAAAGCCACTAGAGGGCACTTCCTGGTTTCTAGTACAGGAAACCTGTGCTAGAGCGTCGTTGGACATCTTCACGCTAACCTGTTACTCAAGGTCTGCAGGTTGGCCAGGATTGCTGCAAGTGTGTCCTGAGTGGCCGTGCAAGCGCCTGATGGCTGTCCTTGAGAGCTAGTGTCTGGTCTAGGTTCGGGGGCCTGATTGGTCAAGAGTCTGTAGAGTTCCGCCTTTCTAGCCGTAGCTGGAAAGGGGATGCCCCTTAGCCTAAGTTCAGCCGTAATTTTAGGAATAGTCCATGCTCTCAAGGACGTAGGAGTAGAGGGGGTGAGAGATTCGCCTGGAGACTCTGGTCTGATAGGAATGAACGGGATCTTTCCGGCAGACAATTCGTCGGTGGGGGCTGGTTCTTGAGACATTCTAGAAATTAATTGGTGAATTAGATTTAGTAGGGGCGAAGAAAGGGACAGAGGGAAGTATGAGGGGGGTTTCCTTAGGTAAACTGGACTGTAAGCTAATGCCGAAGTGAAAAACTTAACTGTGAACTAGTGACAAGTGAGGCCCTGCTAGTGCCGAGTGGCGGTGAAAGGCTCTATCTATGATTTGGTCGAGGGAAGTTTGTTGCCACAGACGTGGTGGCGGGATGTTGGCCTCTCGATGACTTTTAAGGAGATTCAAACGTGTGGCCATGAAAAGTGAGGCCCTGACTGCAGCCCTGTAGAAGGGCGAATGAGGCATCTAACTATGATTTGGGAATGGGGCTGTACCTCCGTGTTGAGGTGGGAGATGGCCTCGCAGGACCGGAATTTACTTGGGTGAGCTAGGGCCGGAGCCCAGACCCTGTAAGCCAGTTCACTTGCCTTCTATGGGTTAAATGGCAATTATGGTGTAATGAGTGGTTACTAACCTTGATAGTGGTTATAACAGGTAACTTGAACCTTCAAGTGTTTTTTAAGTAGAGTGGCTTGGCCGCTGCTGGTATCGTAGAAGAAGCCTAAGGGTAAGACAGATGTTAATGTGTCTCAGTGTAACGTAGGGGCGTATGCTTAGTAGTAAGGGGTGGCTATAGGAGCGCAACATGAGATCCTGAGGTGAGGGATCTAAATGATTAGTCTGAGACTGGGACGAGTTTATGCTGTAGAGGAAGGCTGATTGAGGCCTTGTGATAGCAAATGCTATTAACGAGTATGAACGCAAATACCTGGTAATGTAGCGGGGTACCAGGTTACGTAGGTTGGGTAGGTTCTTGCCTGAAGGCAGTATGAACGTAGGCCTTTATTTGTTGTACAAGTACTTGGATGAGCGTAAGTGTTTTTTTACGGAGAAAACCGGAGGAGGCCTAGAATAGTGTTGGAGCTATGGATAAAAGCCATCGTATATTATTAAAATTAGCAATGGTTATGACATTATATTTTAATTAACAAATTGCGTTTGTGACAAGTTTAGAGTGAAGGCTGTCTGAGGCCTTGACATGATTGAAACTGAAGTGAGTAAATACTATACCTGAATTGTAAATACAAGAACTTGAATTTGACCACTTTATGCAGAAATACAAGACAAACAGGCAATCTGTGGAGACCAAAGAAATGTAACAGAGGCTAAAATTAATGTCTGCGTAAACTAAAGAGAAAGTAACCGAACGGGAAGTATATATAAATATATGTTTGTTTAGTTCGTATGAACGAAAAGCTGATATTTGCACGAACAAGGGTCGGCAGTTTAGACCGTACGAAACGTAAGTATAGCCGGCATTCGTCTAATTTAGACGCACGAACACGGAAGTGCATGAACGGGTAAGTATGAATGAACAGGTAATGTATAAGTAAAAAGGGAGCCTACCCCTACGTTTTAGGCCTGAACGGAGGGAAATAGCCAAAAGCTATTTCCCTCGTAAGCTTATGTGAGCGTGCCAGTCTCGTGACCGGAAGCCAAATACCGCGACCGAGGAGAAGCCGGGTGGCAGGGCTGCAGAACGGACGGAGGATTCAGCTGGACACCTCTGCTGCTGGAGACTGGAGCTGTTTGGCGGGAAGCTCGGACCGGAAGTGCTGGTTGCAATAAACTTTACCGACAGAGGTGAGTAGGGGCTGGGAGTTTAAGTAGGGGACTTACTCCTCCCACAAATTCAGGCCTAATGGCCTTTCTACATATATATATCTTAATTCTACATATATATTTATGTAATATTTTTACATAATTAGGTGATTTTATTAATTACCATTTGAGGGACCTGCCTGATAACCCAGGCCAAAAGTCCAAAGAATTTAATTTGCTAGCACTATATTTAACCCTGTAACTTTCCAAGACATCATAAAATGTGTACATGGGAGGTACTGTTTTACTCGGAAGACTTTACTGAACACAAATATTAGTGTTTCAAAACAGTAAAATGTATTACAACAATGATATTGTCAGTGAAAGTGAATTTTTTTGCATTTTTCACACATAAATGGCACTTACACTGACGATATAATTGTTGTGATACATTTTACGGTTTTGAAACACTAATATTTGTGTTCAGCGAAGTCTCCCAAGTATAACAGTACCCCTCATGTAGAGGTTTTATGGTGTTTTCAAAAGTTACAGAGCCAAATATAAGGCTTGCGTTTTAGTTTTTTTCACATTGAAAATCGCCAGATTGGTTACGTTGCCTTTGAGACCGTATGGTCAGAGGTGGCTATCTAATTCGGTGATATAGGCGGCCGACTAAGGCCTCGCGCTGATGGGGGCCTTGCGGCCACCTAAATCACCTTAGGGCAGACTACCATGTCCGACACAGACTACCATGCCCGACACAGGAAAGGGCCCGGTGTTCTATCAGTCTGCTATACTCCGTCAGATTGCTATACCCCCCGTCACTTCCTGGGAGGGGAATCAGCTGGATCCTGTGCTGCACATGCGTGCTAGCACTCCTGCTACTCCTCCACAGCAAGGTCCTGGAAGGTAAGTAAAACTAGTTTTACACTTTCATTATAGTTAGTGCATTCACTAAGCTTAGGACATGGGACATTTAGGGTTAATGTTAGGGTTCAAATTAGGGTTAGGATTAGGGACTTGTTCATATTTAGTGATATTTCACATTAGGGGAATATCACTAAATAGTGATTTCTCACACTTTATTTTAACCCTTACCCCAAGGATTAGGGTAAGAATAGAGTGTGAGAGAGGTTAGAAGCACTTACCTAACGCTAATTTGTACCCTCACTTAACCCTAAATGTCCCGTGTGCCTAAGCTTAGTGAATGCACTAACTATAATGAAAGTGTAAAACTAGTTTTACTTACCTTCCAGGACCTTGCTGTGGAGGAGTAGCAGGAGTGCTAGCACGCATGTGCAGCACAGGATCCAGCTGATTGGGGGTATAGCAATCTGACGGAGTATAGCAGACTGATAGAACACCGGCGGCTTGCCCGTAATGCCACCAGATGCGAGGCCCCTCCTGTCAGTGTGCCCAGGAGAGAGCCAGCTGTCAGTCTGCAGCTCCGCTGAGAGTAAGCTGCAGACTGAAGTGTCACGGCAACTGTTACTACCCCCTGTTACTGCCCCTCCATCCCCTTACCCACTGTCACTGCCCCTCCACCCCTTTACCCCCTGATACTGCCCCTCCACCCCCTCCCCCCGTTACTACCCTTCCAACTCCATGTTACTGCCCCTCCATCCCCCTACCCCCTGTCACTGCCCCTCCGCCCCCTACCCCCTGTTACTACCCACTACCCCTGTCACTGCCCCTCCACCCCCTACCTCCTGTTACTACCCCCCTACCCCCTGTCACTGCCTCTCCACCCCCTACCCCCTGTTACTACTCCCCTACTCCCCTACCTCTTTTTACTGCCTTTCCATCCCCCATACCCTCTGTTACTAACCCCTACCCCTGTTAGTGGCCCTCTATCCCCCTACCCCCTGTAACTATCCCCTATCCCCTGTCAGTGCCCCTCCACCCCCTTCACAGTCACAGCAACTCCACCCCCCAACCTGTCACAGACCCTCAAGCCCCCACACCATGTCACAGCCCCTCCAGCCCCCTTACCCTCTCACAGTCCCCCAACCTTCTCACAGCCCCCCTCCACCCTGTCACAACCCATCTTACTGGCTGTGGGATGACAGCCCCCCACCCTCCCACACACTCTGTCACCCATCCACCCACACCCTGTCACCCCTCCACACACACAGCCTGTCACAGTCCCTCCATCCCCGTACCCCCTGTTACTGCCCCTCAATCTCCCCTACCCCCTGCCACAGCTCCTCCATCCCCCTTACCCTCTCACAGCCCCCTACCATGTCAGAGCCTTCACACCCACCCTGTCACAGCCACCCACACATATTGTCACAGCCCCTGCTACCCTTTCGCAGTCCCCCCACCCTCTCACAGCCCAGCCAACCTGTCACAATCCCCCCCTACCCTGTCACAACCCACACCTTATTGGCTGTGGAATGACAGCCCCGCCCCCACCTCCAACCCACCCTGTCACCCCTTCACCCACACCCTGTCACCTCTCCACACACATACCCTGACACAGCCCCCCACACACATACACCCTGTCACAGCCCACCTCCATACACTGTCACCCCCACACGCACACATTGTCACCCCCACATGCACTCATTGTCACCCCATACATATACACTTTTACCATTCCCAAACACTTTCACCCCCACACACTGTCACCCCCTTCACCCAGCCACACTCACATTAAACCCTCCTAATCCTGTCACTCTCACCCCCTCCAACCATACCAAACTCAACTGCCCTTGCTTTACCACAATTATCCTATCACATTAACCACCCTCAATCCTGTCAGACTCACCTTCTCTTGCACTGTCGCACACAGTTCCCAACCCTGTCACACTCATCCTCTAACAGTCTGTCCCACTCACCCCCTTCACCCTGCCACACTCACATAAGCCCCTCCAATCCCGTCATCCAACTGTGCCACACTAACCCCAAACCCTGTCACACTCTACCCCCAACCCTGCCACACTCACCCTTCCACATTAATCTAATCCTGCCACATTAAGCCCCTTAATCATGTCACACTCACCTCCCCTTATTCTGTTACATTGCCTCCTCCAAACATGGCACATTCACCCCAACCCTGTTATACACCCCCAACTATACCACATGAAGCCTGTCACAATAACCTCCTCCAATCCTGTCACACTTACTTCCCCATGCACTGTCACACTCCCTCCTCCAGCCATGTCACAATCGTCCCCCTATCATTCTCACCCTCCCTCATCCTGTTACACTCACCCCCCCAACCCTGCCTCATTTACCCACTTCACCCTGTCACACTCACCCTGCCCTTTACTCACCTTGTCACAGTCACAAACTGAAGACATTCATCATACACACATGCACAAAGGTCACAGGCAGTCCCCATAAACACCACACACCGCAAGCAGCTTAGTACAGAACACTGGTGAGACCTCACTTGGAGTATTGTACGCAGTACTGGAGACTGTAACTTCAGAAGGCTATTGATACTTTAGAGAGAGTTCAGAGAAGGGCTATTAAACTGGTTCATGGATTGCGGGATAAAACTTACCAGGAAAGGTTAAAGGATCTTAACATGTATAGCTTGGAGGAAAGACGAGACGGGGGGATATGATAGAAACATTTAAATACATAAAGGGAATACACACTGTAAAGGAGGAGACTATATTTAAAAGAAGAAAAGCTACTACAACAAGAGGACATAGTCTTAAATTAGAGGGACAAAGGTTTAAAAATAATATCAGGAAGCATTACTTTACTGAGAGGGTAGTGGATGCATGGAATAGCCTTCCAGCTATAGTGGTAGAGGTTAACACAGTAAAGGAGTTTAAGCATGCGTGGGATAGGCATAAGGCTATCCTAACTATAAGATAAGGCCAGGGACTAATGGAAGTATTTAGAAAATTGGGCAGACTAGATGGGCCGAATGGTTCTTATCTGCCGTCATATTCTATATTTCTATTGCAAATAGGGTATGTCCTGTCTTTTTTAGTAGCCACTAAGTCACACACACACTGGACAAAATTGTCGGTCAAATTAGTTTTTTGCATTTTTCATACACAAACAAATATTAACACTTACTTTGGCCAGTGTTTGTGACCAAGTTGCTACTAAAAAAGACTGTACATACCCCATTTGCAATACCTTGGGTTGTCTACTATTGCAAATGGTATGTCATCATGGAGGTTATTCTTATTCCCAGGCTACCATATGGTCTCAAATGCAACGTAACCAATCTGGCAAGTTTCAATGTGAAAAAACTGAAAAATCTAACATGCTATATTTGACACTGTAACTACCCAAAACACCATTAAATCTGTACATCGGGGGTACTGTTTTCCATGTGAGACATCGCTAAATACAAATATGTGTACTTTTTTGCAGTTAAAGCAAATCGTATTATGACATCCACATTTAAAATGTCATGCAGAACTAAAAGAAATTTCATAATTTCTCCCTTTTTTATATTTTATTCATATTAAATTATGTTTCATATCTAAATAGTTGATGTTAAATGAAAGCCCTGTTTCCCCTGAATAAAATTATATATAATAAGTGTGGGTGCACTTAATACGAAAGAGGTGACTTACGGTTGAACAGACATAAAGTCAAATTCCAAGTTTTGTTTACGTTTTATTTTGAGAAAAACATGTACATTTGGCTCCGTCCTTAAGGGGTTAAATGAGACAGTTGTCTCAAAGTGATAACAAAATAATCGATTTACGGAGTTAATTGTTTTTTCAGCCATGCCCTGCAAGTGTATACACACAGTTTTAACCATTGGAAGTGAAATAGTTGTGCTGACAACAAAGTCAGCACTACCATTCTAGAGCTCTCCTTTACTCCTTTCCTCTACAGATTTCCCTGCATAGCCCTGCAATACTCAATGTGTAGTCTGCACCTCTGGCTGGGAGCAGCTCTCTGCATAGGCTGCTTCCTGGTCAGATACCGGAAGGGGCATTAAAAGGGGGCAACGCACATCCAGATGTGCAAATCCCTCTGGCAGCCAACTGGACCACAAGGTAAACCATTGAACCACCAGGGAATAAAGACTAGGGCCCTGCAACCCTCCCGCCCCCTCCCCCCCCAGATGTAAGCAGGAAATATCAAAATATTAATTAAAATGAGATGCACTGTGTGGGGAGGCTGGAAAGAGAAATATGTCCTCTGTATACACAATCTACCACTTACCTATCACATCACCCCACACACAGTCACATTGCCACACTCACACACACAGTCACCCTGTTACACTCACTCCCACACACACAGTCACTCAGTCATACTCACCCTCATACCCATCCAGTCACCCTGATTAACAGACACCCCACTACAGCCATCAACCGTTAAACCGCATACACACACAGTCACCCAACAAAGAACTCAACCTCATCACAAACAAAACACACACATTAAAACAACAAGCAGCCACAATACACCGAAGCATCTACCCCATACCCTGCACTCCCAGTCATAGAGGTATACATGCTTTCAGATACAGTGTTACACAGACATGCATTCCAAGCACAGTCAAGGATACACATATACACAGATACTCTCAGAGATGCACAAGGATACTTACTGGCAGACACACAATTCCAGGCACATATATGCTACACAATAACAGACATGCACACACAGGTACCTATACACACTGCCAGATACACACCGTGATTTTCTATCTGCAGCTTTCAATGTGTGTGCGTCAGTGTGTTTATATATGTGCATGTATCGGAGTGTATATATGTGTGTGCACGTGTATTAGTGTGTCTCCAGAGTGGCAACATGGCTGTATTTTGAGGGTGATATAGCATGACAATATCATGGTAATGAGGCAAAATATACATTATAAGTGCGGCAACTAAGAACTGTGTGCATATGAGATAATGTATACGTGAGAGTATTATAGACTGTATGGGGAAGAAGTCTATGTTACATTAGGAGAAATCGTATTTATTTACAACACTGTTTTTTTATATGTAACTTCATTATTTGTCACATGATTTTAAAATGGCTTTCCAGGACATCCAAAGTTATCTGGCAGTGTATGTTTTTTAAGTCTACTTGACAGGGGAGGGATTAATAAATGTGAACACTGATTAACCAGAAATCTTTTGGGTAATTAACATTTGATTCCAGAACAGGAGACATCTGTTGGGTATTGACAAAGTTATTCACTTAAATGACAATTGTTAGGAATTCAGAGTGAATTAAAAATTAGACGAAAAATTTAGACTGTGAGCTATCACAGGCTAATGCCCTCCAATCAGCCAGCACGGTAAAATACACATCAGTATGCAAGGAGATCACATTTTAAAAAAGGGCAAGGTAACCATGATCCCGTTTGGACAGAGCCAAGTGAAATGTCCCTTTTTTCAAAACTATCATATAGTGGCTAAGCTCTATTAACCAGCTTGTCAAATAGGTGGAGAGTAAGTTAATACCTTTGTAGGGATTGAAAATGTAACTCGCAATTCCTCCACGCCATGGGCACACTCAAGCTCCCTAGCCCATTTACAAGAGGCTCTTGGGATGCCTCTAACTTCCCCATCATAATACCCCGCCTCCATACTAATAGAGGACCAGAGATGCCCAGTAACCTAGTTTAATGTAAATATTTACACAGCTGAATATAAATTTACCATTAGAAGGGACAATTGATAATACATTTAATAATGTTCATTCTGTTGAGACTTCTTTTTGTTGATATTTACATCGACCACGGCATGGTCTGACGCTGACATTATCACCAATTACAACATTTCATAGCCTGTATTCAGCAACCCAACACCTGCTTTAAAAATCTGTGTAAAATTACCAATCACACCTAGTTTTTTTTTCTCCAGAGTCTTTACTACCACATTACACCAGCCAGTAGGAGATTGAGCTAGGAATTCACATATCTCAAGCACAGGCAAAACATGTTTATTTTGACTCATAAAAGTAACACTAATTTTGTTTTCTATGAAGGACAAAGCTCAGCCAGAAACTCAAGAAAGGATGTTTGGAAATGTCCCATTTAATGCCAGATTAGCTGTCGACGTTCCAGAAGCTCTTCTCCTATCAAAACAACCAGGCTCAGATGGATTTAGTCTCTCATCTGCTCCTTTATTCCAAGTAAGTAAACAAATAGAAATACAAACAAACCTGTAGATAGGTAGCATTGTTAATATGTTGGTTTCCAGTAGTAACATAACATTATATTTTACATGTAACATTGAAAACCACTATTTTAAAGCTACAAAGTTCAGTAATTTAAAGGGCTGGCTTCACCTATTTCTATGGTCTTTGTAGCTTCAGCTTATATAAATATGTTATCACTATATCTTAAAGTGAAACTTATTTCTGTGTTTCCTTGTTTACAGGTGGCTTTAGGCCGTGAGTGGTTCATTCACACCATTTATACAGTTCGTTCTAGAGAAAACGCAAACAGAGGCATTGGAAAGAGAAGTGTGGAATACCACCATATCCTGAGTAGTTCTAACAGTCACCAGGACCAGCTGCTACTGAAGAGAAGCCGCAGGGCGAATCCAGAGTCTACAGCCCTCACCCAAGACATTGGGGCTGAAAAGAACAGAGGAACTAACATTCAGCACATTACTTTGGAGCATTCCAGCAAGAGTTCTGGTCGCCAAAAGGATATTTTGTCTGCTGGAGGACAGTATGAAAAGCCAGCCTTGGAAGTCACTGGATATGATTCACAAGGAAACATACTGCCTCTCATTGGGGGGACAAGCGCTTTGCTGCTTCTTATATGTACTATAGCTGTTGTTGCTTTGTTGCTGAAACGCAGAGGACAGTCTGAGAAAAAGTCTCCATCCAGCCACAGCAGTAGCAATGAAACTATGACTACCCGCCATAGTAGCAGCGACAGCTCTGAAGTGTAGCATATCCAGCAGATCTTCATTCTTGAACACCATCGATCTTTGATTGGTGCTTTTTCATGCGTTATCCTGTCATTTCATTCAAAGTACTGTCAACTATTCCCTTCTAGCTGCATATTTTAGGTTACTTTCCAAAAGTATGAGACAGAGAGCTGAGAAGGGTGTTCAACACATGGGCACCCAAAGAGTTCATTCCAATCAGTGAACTATATTTGAACATTTGCTTTAAAATTTGTCAAATGTCTTCCAATTTTTCTCTGCACAAATGGCCTTATTTTGCAAGAGTGGAAAAACGGATTATAGTTTTCTAAATGAATAACACTGTAGGTATAACTGAACGGCATCCTTCTTTTTTCAATCATATGTAAACAATATTTACTTTTATAGACTATTGGGGGAAGTATTAAACTAAATAATTAATTGTGGTGAACTACTTGGTGATTTGTAACATTATTAGTGAATATTTAATGGTTGAGTTGGAAAAATTCTCCAAATTATTTTTGTAAATTTCAAAAATCAAGATATATCTATGGATAGGGTAAAAATACCTACTCAATAGATACAAACACCTTTATTGACACTCCAGTGGTGTCACATGGGGCTTAACCCCTATTTGGAACATCAAAGAAAATTCACAAATCTGAAGACGATACTCCAGATTTGTAAATAATAACTGGAAGTTGAATTAAATAAATAATATCAAAATACGAAAAATGAATAAAATAAAAAATGTTTGTGAGTACAATCAAAAAAACAATCAATACAAATATCTCCCCAGCTATCAATAGCTGTACCTCCCTAATGTCTATGTGAGTTAGTATCAAAACAGACTTCTGACTTTAATATTATAATCAGTGTCAATGTCTGTGAAATATAAAGATACAGATATCATAGACATCATATAGCTTAACACAGTATTGTGTCAAAATATCAAATTGGCAGATTTGCAACAAAAATTTAATGTAATGTTGCTGCCTTTATTAATCAAACTATACTGTGTTAATCCTCTGACTAGAGGGGGGTAAACATGACCTGTTAAACACTATTCAACAGGTTTGCCATTAGTGTAACTGTATATGGGATTACACTCATTGCATGAATCCCAAACAGAAACAAAATGTCCAGTCCGTGAAAATAAACCATAAAAATAGCAACGTTGCCCTCAAAAAATCGACGGACTGCTCCTGGCTGCCTGTGAAGCTAGATGTAAAAGCAGGTATATGTTAATTAAATCCCCCACTAGTATAGGGGGAAAAAATCATATATAGGAGGAGAGAGAAAAAGAAAAAGAATAATTACAGCGTGCTAATGTGCCGGACCATACTTAGAATGTTGGTCCCTGCACATGTGACAGTGTGCCCTGTGAAGTGAAAAAAGTGAAGGAAAACCCGACGCGCGTTTCGGTGCCGCTAACGTGCACCTTCGTCAGGTGCCCCTACAATGTCTGTATCTTTATATTTCACAGACATTGACACTGATTATAATATTAAAGTCAGAAGTCTGTTTTGATACTAACTCACATAGACATTAGGGAGGTACAGCTATTGATAGCTGGGGAGATATTTGTATTGATTGTTTTTTTGATTGTACTCACAAACATTTTTTATTTTATTCATTTTTCGTATTTTGATATTATTTATTTAATTCGACTTCCAGTTATTATTTACAAATCTGGAGTATCGTCTTCAGATTTGTGAATTTTCTTTGATATTTTTGTAAATTGTCGATCTTTTTCTACATTTTTCAATTTGAATATCAGTTCACCAAAATTTACTGTTTAGTGACTAAATACAGCATCTCCAATAGTGTCTAAAAATCTCAGCATGCTGATTGGAAAATAAATTTCCTTTGCACTAGTTATTCGCTGTCAACAGCAATCTTTCTCAGATGGTGTTCAGAAATAAAATGTGTCCTCCAACAATATCGGAAATATAATGATTTCTGACTTGTTCAAGAAACATTTACACGTTTGTTTGTGAATTTATCTTTAGTATAATAGTTTTTTTTTGTATTGTAGTTTAAGCTTTACTTTAACATGTCTTGTGCCTCTTGTATACTTGACTCTCATTTCAATACTTGAGTAATTGGTATATGCATTTATCTATAGCCTTAATCATTGTAAGATATTTTTCAGCCTACTTCTACAAAGTGCACTGAGGATTCTTGCAATAGGTAGAAATTTAAATTATTTAATCGAAATTACCATTGCATATATGTTTGTGCCTTAAAACCTGTTTGAAGTGTTTACTGTACGTAAAGAATACACAATGTTTGTTATTATTGTTAAACATAGCTTTTATCAGCTCTAGAATTCACAAACCTACACAAGCACCAACACACTGCTGGTTAATTGAAATTATGTTTTTGTCCAATAATAGGTAAGTGGTAGCTTACCCAAGAATTGTCTGTGGTATGCCGGTGTTGCCTAAACAATATTCTAACAAATGCCAGTGGCAAGATGGGTTAGGTCCTTGGAATGCAATGTAAATTGAATTGATGTAAACTTTAAACAACTTCTTGAGCAAGGATCAGATATCCCAAAATACATTTATAAACAGCTATAAACACATTAAATATAATCAACTGTATTAACAGTATATGTTATATACCAGTGGCGCCTGGAAGGTAGATCCCCGGATGTTTTAAAACTACAGCTTCCATGACGCTTTGTCATTTTAAAGACATTCTAAAGGCATGCAAAGCATCATTGGGCACCACTGTTATATACAGTGCACTGAGCAAAACAACATGCTTTTTTAGGTACTGCTACAATAAAACCGTTAAACATGTCATAATGGTGTATAAAGCAAAGCTCTTTGTATTCACATAGAGTGTTTATTTGGGTTTGGTTTACGTGAAGTAGCTTTACCTAGAACAGTGGTTCCCAACCTAGTCCTAAGACTGAATCCTTATAAGTATGAATACCCAGAAGTGAATATGATACCTGTCCATACTGTAATACTGATATCCTACTGATTATATGCTGCTATACAAACATTTGTTATTGGTATTGTTAAAAGCGGGTGTTTAGCAATCACTGTACAATGCCTGGGCTCGTGTCAATAGAATACACAGGAAAAATCTCATATGGTTCAATTTTTAATGCAGAACACCATACAGTTACCCATCGACACATTGAGTGTCTGTGCTAGGTGTTGATGGAAACAGAAAACCCAAACACTTTATGGCTTATTAACTAAAGTGAGAATTGAAAGTTCATTTTAATTTTAAGGCCGCATTAGCCAAACTGAAAACTTAGCTGACTGTTTCTGAATTGGCTATTTTGACCTTAAATTTGAAATTCACTTTCAATTCACTTTACATTCTCACTTTAGTGAGAATAAACGGGTTAGTTCTAAAAAAAAAAAAAATGGGAAAATAAATATTTGAACTCAATCATGTGTCACATATTGTTTGCTATTCAAGTCAATTATCCAATTTCTCCATATAACTAAATGTAGTGATGATTGAAGCAGTAAAAATAACAAAAACAGTGAAGCAATCTATGAAATATTTGCCATTTGTTTCTCCCAGGTTTAGATTGTGACTTTTAATACTAAAATTATTACAGCAATTATGAAGCATTTGTCTAACAACTTTTGAGGGGCAAGGTTTGTGCAGAGCTCCATCTTGGAGATGTACTGAATCGTTATTGGCAGTCACAAAGATCAAATTTCATTAATTTTATGCTATGATTACTGAGAAGCAACAGAATAAAACATATCTTTTTTTTACGAGTTTGTATTATTATGTGAAATAGCTACCATTAACTAATGTTAATAATGTTTCATTAAAATATGAAAAATATATTATTTTAATGTAAATAAACTTTGTTTTAAAAAAATGTAAACTAAAAATTTGCATTATTTTCTTTCCTTGTAAAATATGAACTGATCAACCATGTAGTGTTGCGACTTCCGTGTCTGTCTCCCTCCAAGTCAAGAGTGCACTACCTCGCAGGCTCACTAGATGTTCTCTTTGACTCCGACCTCTCCGTCACCCATCATGTCCAGTCGATCGCCAAATCCTGCCGCCTCCATCTCAAAAACATAGCTCGCATCTGCCCCTAACACCAGACGTGACTAAGGTGCTGGTCCATGGCGTTGTTCTTTCTTGCCTTGACTACTGCAATCCCCTTCTCAGTGGTCTTACGTGTTCCCAGATTGCACCACTGCAATCTATAATGAATGCGGTGACGAAGCTCATTTTCCTGTCCGCCCACGCCTCCCCCCCTCTGTCAATCCCTACATTGGCTTCCAGTTAGAAATATGGCTCAATTTAAGATTCTGATGCATGCTTACAAGTCCCTACATAATGCTGCTCCAACCTACCTATCCTCCCTAATACACAAGTATGTCCCGTTGAGGCCCCTGCGCTCTGCCGAAGACCTACATCTGTCCTCTGTCCGTACTCCCACATCTGCTGCTTGCCTCCAAGACTTCTCCAGGGCTGCACCTTTTCTGTGGAACTCCCTTCCCTTCTCCATTAGACTTTCACCCAGTCTCCACTCCTTCACAAAATCTTTGAAAACACACTTCTTCAGGAAAACATATCATATAAACTGGTTTTCATTCCCCCACTCTCCCTCATGATTCCTCTCCTGCAACTGTCAAAAATAACCAAAGTGAATACTTTTCTACAACCTATTTCATTACCCCTACTTATACCTTTTGTGTCACTATACCCCATTCCCTCTAGCATGTAAGCTCATTGAGCAGGGCCCTCAACCCCTCTGTTCCTGTGCGTCCATTTGTCTGGTTACAATTACGTGATCACACATTAATTTACATCTTAAAATATTTAGTGCACAAGAAATGTAACCGAGAAACATGGGAGTGTGAAAAAGAACAACCTCTCTGTACTGAAAAAAATAAATGTCGGGCGGGGCCTGACTGCCAAAATGGCCAGATGTACTCTTTGAAAGCCCCGACACCAGCGGGCATTAAATCAATAATCCTGCACAACCAAACCATGTATGAAGCACCTGGTGGCCGGAAAACGATGAGGAACACCTTGCGGATTACAGGGATACCTGTTCCGCATCAAACCGCAACATGAGCACTCAAACCAGCCATAAGGCCTGAACTACAGTGGAGATCAGTGCCTGGGGGAGGCGGCCGATAGCCCGGCACGGGATCCACTCACAAACAAGAATCACATGTTGCTCTGCTACCTCCACTCTGGGCCAGAGGGGGATATCCCGGTCCTCGTTGGGGGCGACTACTCCCGCAAAGCACTGTGAACAAGCGCTAAAACCAAGGATGAAGCGAAACTGCCAGGGCACAGTTAAGATGGCGACACAGACACAGCCTGCAACGCGGCGCACCTGTAGCAAGCCGCCCAAGAATACCTTGCCATTTTTCTAGAGGATCTGCGCAAGCCTCTGGATGGAACTCTGTGCCAAACACCGAGCCTTCAAAAAGGCGAGGAGAACGGTGGCAGCCTGGATACGCCCGGCCTCTCGACAGCAACAGAGCCGACAAACAGGATGGAGGGAAAAGCCAACATGGCCCTTGGGCGACTCACTCACACTTACACCAACGTGAGACCAGCCAGCATACCAGTCCCCTCAACTACTCAGAGACATCGGAAGACGACCGGAACGTCGGCGGTTCCACAAGAGCGGTCTCACACCAGGACAGTGGCCAGCAACGGCCCATCCATGGCCCACACACAGGGCTCCTGCACCAGGCCTCCAGAGTTGGCGTGGGGTGAACCATACGAACTGCTTTGCAACACACTAAAGCAGGTTCAGTCCAAAATGAAACTCTGCTATAGACTAATTACTCAAGCATGTGTGAATTGTGGCAGCACCATAGACCTGGTAGTTGTTAGTACATTATGTTATTTACTCACCTGCAGACCAAACATGACCTAATACAATATTTAAGCATGACATAGTATAATGTTTAAGCATGACCTCATATATACTAGTTAAGCATGATACCTTACTCAGACTAGCATAGCTTGTACTCATGACCTAACGCTTTACCAGTTAAGCTTGTTTACACTGAAGCTTCACAGTTGCTATTAAAATTTTGCCGACCTAATCGACAGGACATGTTAAACATGACCTAACGCATTACTAATTAAGCAAGGTAGCATTGAAGCCTCACTATTGTTGTTAAAATTTCGCTGACCTAATCGACAAGACATAACTAATCAAACCGTATTGTATTAACCGCCACTTAATAATACCAAAATTGTGCATGTTTCTCTTAAACCCCAATGTAAAACATAAATATGAAACGCTGGAGGATTGCCTTTGGGGTACCTCCCAAGCGACTGTTACTTAGCTATGCACTACAAAATTAAAGATTTTTTAAAAAATAAATAAATAAATGTCAACAGCTAACTTAGTTGAAGTATGTGAATTTTATTGTACAGTAGACTTATATTATACTAAGCTCTCTTTACTACTCAAACTAGCAGAAGAAACAATGAAATTAATACAATGCAAGCAAACATTAAAACAAGTAAACTTGCCGGGTATAGCAACTCACCAATCACAAGTGAGCATAGTCTATAAATGGTGGGATCCATAGAAACCAATAGTGTTATTTATTAACCCCTTACGGATGCAGCTTCAGAAGCTGGACATACCCTTAAGGACTCAAGCTATTTTTGCATTTTTTGCTGTTTGTGTTCAACTGCAATTTGCATCGCTCTCATTTATTGAATCCACACATATTATATATCGTTTTTTAAAGGACAAGATGGGCTTTACTTTGATGTGACTTATACATATATAAAATCTAATTTATTATTTAAAAAAAATGAAAAAATGAAAACAAATGAAAAAAATATATATTTTTTCACAGTTTTGGCAATAATATTGTGTGCATAATATGTCCAGCTTAGGAAAAGTAATTCAAAATAAATTCATGTAGGTGTCTTGTTTTTCAAAGTGCATAATATGTAAAGGATTTCAGCTTATTTTAAAAGTTACAGGTCACAAAATACAAGGAGTAATATAAAATTTAAATGTGAAAAAAATTTAGAAGTTTGTATGTTTGACTTGTAAGTTTAACAGTCATCGCAGAAAACAAAATTGCTACACAAAAGTATATATTTATATAAAGAAGACATCACAGGCTATCTATTTAAAGATATTTTGACACTTTTTACATAGCCATTTTCCCACCAATCTCTGCTACATATTGTAGTAAAATTGTGTTTTTTCTGTTTTTTGAAATACACACATATAACAAGGTTTTTTAAATGTGTATTTTGTAAAGCTGCTGTGTGCTATTCCTGGTCAAAATCCCATTTTGCGTACAGCTAGATCTGCTGAGTACAACAATACCCCCATTGTATGCCTTTGCCACTATTTTGGGAAGCTACAATGACATGTAAGAGGCCAGACTATTTCAGTTTCTACAGTTAGAAAATTCAAAGATGGATTTAATGGACCTATGTCTTATTTTGGGGCATTATAGTAGTTTGGTTGTTCAAATAACCACACAAAAGCCTTCCATTTGTGAAAGTAGACACTCCAGGGTATCTCATATGGCATATATTGTGCCTTAACATTTTTTTACTTAAGCATTACATTAGTGCTGGGCATTTTGTATATTTGATATGTTCCACTGTGGCGGAACCAACCTCGCCACTATGCACTGGAGAAGCCTGGTTGCCAGCCTCCTGCCATGTGACTATGGCCCCTGGGATGTATTGTCCTTTAAAGACATGATTTGGGCATAATGGATTTGTGTTGTGCTGCTGCTGGCCCTTTTAAGAACCATCTGGGGACATACTGTGGAGTTACTGGGTGGCCACCATTTCCTGTATCAGAAGCACATGGTGAGAACAATTTTAACTCACAGACACTGTGTGGACTTTTCAACACGGTGCCAGCTCGCCAGTATTTGTTGAACAGAGACATCGTGCGGTGGTTTTGGACTATACAGCAGGGGACACATTATACAGTGATTGTTTTTTATTTAGCCTGTATATGTTCTGCAGAATCTGCATTAAACTGTATTTTCCAAAGTACTGAACGGATCTGGGTGAATTTTGGATATGTGGTTCACCCAGATCCCCCAGTTCCAAGGATATACTTATGGGGTTATTGCATGTTTTGGGGTCCCTGTGATGTGTTTTATGAAACTGTATTTCTCTGGCTGTGATAATTAGGTTACCCATTGTGTTCAGTAATCATATCACAGCCAGAGGGGAGGATTTTGTGTGGGAGTGTCTGGGTGTATTGTATGGATTGATTGGTTGTTTTGTAACGCCCTGTGGGCTGTACTATGCTTGTGGATTGGGAATAAAAGAGACTGTATGTGACAGTACAGGGAGTTCCTGCTTAACCCTCAAAGTGAAGTGTCGTCTCATTATTGGGGGAGGATTTATTGTATGCTGTTCCAGTTTGACTGCTAGGAGAGTAAACCTATTCGTATGGTTCCTATTCAACTGTCTACAGCATTCAAATGCTTGAGAGGATTCATATGCTTCTCCGGTTCGGTGGTTGTGGTGTCTGCTGCAGTACTTGGAGTCCTCAGGAAGCGCTAGGAGCATCCTTTAACGGAGGTACCCAGTCGGGGTGCCAGGCGATCCGTTACATCCACTATGATCAAACACCCCTAATTATGCTCAGCTAAGTCTTCTGAGTAAAACAATACCCTCAATGTATGCCTTTGACACTATTTTGTGATGCTACAGTGCCATAAAGGAGACCTGACCATTTCAGTTTTTAGAGTAGAATTTTGAGAGACGGATTTGTAGGGCTTATGTTTCAATTTGGGCCATTATAGCAGTTTGGCTGGTTAAATAACCGCAAAAAGGCCTACCATTTGTGAAAGTAGACACTCCAGTGTATCTCATATGGCATATATTGTGCCTTAACATGTCGCCATTTTTTCACCATTATATGTCAGAGTTTGTGGTAAAAAAATTTTTTTCGCATTTTTTACTTAAGCATTACATTTGTGCTGGGCATTTTGAATATTTGATATGTTCCACTATGATCAAACACCCCTAATTATGCTCAGCTAAGTCGCAATACAGCAATACCCCATGTGTACCTTTCCCAGGTATATGTGGATGTTGAAGGGGCAAATTTGAGACTCGGTTTGTTTCAAGCTTTGAATATTCATGCTGGGTCCATGTTCCATTTTGGGTCAAACTCTGAGGCACTGTCTGTCACCTCTGAATCCACTGTCATAATTCTCTAACTGTACTTCCTAAGCATTTTGAACTTTTTACACAAGAACTTTAACAAAACAATCTTATCATAATGTTATTTTTTTTTTGTGTGGATGTTTTTATTTGTATTTTTACCCCTAGCATACGCACTACACTCCCCAATTTCCCAGGAACTATCATCCACCCCAATTAACTAAATAAAAAAAATAAAAAAATAAAAATAAAACTATATATATATATCTAGTCAGTGGTCAAATAACAGAAGAACTACAACAAGAATATTAATTGTATTGAGAATTTATTGGCTCTGAGTATGAAATAATTTAAAACAATTCCCAATACAAAGGCCAGGCTGAGAGGGACAATCAGGGCAGTAGAAACTGGTCTCCGTTCGAATGCCTCTCTGGTAACACAGCCTGCACCTTTTCTGGGGGGTCTTTTTTTGGGGGGTTGGTGGTATCCAAAAGAAGAAGTGACCTGTCTGAATATCTCTGCTGCTAGGCCCTGCTGATGGCTCCCCACTGTGGCACTCAGTGAGCAGCACAGAAATTAGCTGAAACTGAAATGTAAGAAAAGTACGTTTCAGCTGAGGATTTGCCTTGTTGAAAAGGATGAATGCATTGTGAGTAGCCATTTGCATTAAATAAATGCCCACTTTCTTATACCAGGTCCTGTTCTTTCTCATTATCAGATATGGCTGCAGCAGTTGATCAGACAGACTTAATGCAGACAGGCAGCCGTCTTGTTTCCTGTCTGCCATAGACTGCGACCCTGCGTGTGTGATCACTGTGCATGGTAGTCAGTATGAACACCTCCTTTTTGTCTCTGTATTTCAGAGCCAGCAGTTCGTCCTGGCAGAGAGCAGCCATTTCCCCCTTTTTAATTTTTTTCTCTGCCAAAGCCTTGGGGAAGCCAGTGCATGTCTTGCGTATAGTGCCGCAGACCACAGTCTCAAAACAATATAGCATTTTTTGGAGGGATATGCTATTTTAATAATTATCAAGGTAGAGGTGGTACCCCTTGTTCAGTAGCGGGTTCATTGGATCCCAAACAATTTTTCCGCTAGTCCCAACTACATCAGGGCAATCTGGGTGATCCCGGGGGCTATCTTTACCTTCATATACTCTGAAGGTATAAACATACCCACTGCTACTTTCACATAACTTGTATAGCTTGATGCCATACCGGGATCTTTTGGCTGGGATGTATTGCTTAAACCCCAGTCTACCCTTGTATTTCATTAGGGACTCGTCAATACATATATTCTTTTGGGGATTATAAATTATGCCAAATTCTTTATTAAAATGGTTAATTAGGGGGCGGATTTTATAAAGTTTTTCATACTGCGGATGATCTTTGGGATGGCACTTCGAATTATCATTGAAGTGCAGAAAACGCAGTACTGATTCGTATCTGGGCCTACTCATGGTCTGAGAGAAAATGGGAGTATTGCATACTGGGTTTTTGGACCAGTACATTCGGATGCTGGGCTTTTTTATAATTCCCATTAGCATGGTTAGTGCCCAGAACTGTTTTAACTCTGACACACTGGTGGGGTACCAGCTCCGTTTTGTGGCAAAGTGACTTGCTGCATTTTATGCCAGGTACTGCGCTGCATAAATATTTGTCTGTGTAACTATCTGCC